GTGGTGGTGTGTGGTGTGGTGTGGTGTAGTAGTGTGATGGTGGTAGTGTGGTGGTGTGTGTGGTGTGATGGTGGTAGTGTGGGGGTAGGATTGTAGTAGTGTGATGGTGGTGGTGTGGTGGTGTAGTAGTGTGATGGTGGTAGTGTGGTGGTGTAGTAGTGTGATGGTGGTAGTGTGGTGGTGTAGTAGTGTGATGGTGGTAGTGTGGTGGTGTAGTAGTGTGATAGTGGTAGTGTGGTGGTGTAGTAGTGTGATGGTGGTAGTGTGGTGGTGTAGTAGTGTGATAGTGGTAGTGTGGTGGTGTAGTAGTGTGATGGTGGTAGTGTGGTGGTGTAGTAGTGTGATGGTGGTAGTGTGGTGGTGTAGTAGTGTGATGGTGGTAGTGTGGTGGTGTAGTAGTGTGATGGTGGTAGTGTGGTGGTGTAGTAGTGTGATGGTGGTAGTGTGGTGGTGTAGTAGTGTGATGGTGGTAGTGTGGTGGTGTAGTAGTGTGATGGTGGTAGTGTGGTGGTGTAGTAGTGTGATGGTGGTAGTGTGGTGGTGTAGTAGTGTGATGGTGGTAGTGTGGTGGTGTAGTAGTGTGATGGTGGTGAGTGTGTGGTGAGATTGTAGTGAATGTGATGGGTGGTAGTGTGGTGGTGTGGTAGTGTGATGTTAGTAGTGTGGTGGTTTGTAGTAATGGTAGAGTGGTGGTGTAGTGAGTGGAAGTGTGGTGGTGTAGTAGTGTGATGGTGGTAGTGTGGTGGTGTAGTAATGGTGGGAGTGGTGTGGTGTAGTAGTGGAGGTGTGGTGAGATTGTAGTAGTGTGATGGTGGTGAGATTGTAGTAATGGTAGAGTGGTGGTGTAGTAGTGGAGGTGTGGTGGTGTGATTATTGGTGTGATGGTGGTGGTGGTGGTGTAGTAATGGTAGAGTGGTGGTGTAGTGGTGGAGGTGTGAGGGTGGTGTAGTGGTGTGATGGTGGTGGCGGGTGTGTGGTGGTGTAGTAGTGGTAGAGTGGTGGTGTAGTAGTGGAAGTGTGGTGGTGTAGTAGTGTGATGGTGGTAGTGTGGTGGTGTAGTAATGGTAGAGTGGTGGTGTAGTAGTGGTAGAGTGGTGGTGTAGTAGTGGAAGTGTGGTGGTGTAGTAGTGTGATAGTGGTAGTGTGGTGGTGTAGTAATGGTAGAGTGGTGGTGTAGTAGTGGTAGGATATTAGTGTGATAGTGGTAGTGTGGTGGTGTAGTAGCGTGTTAGTGTGGTAGTGGTAGTGTAGTAGTGTGATAGCTTGATAGTGTGGTAGTGCGGGTACATGGGGTCCAGCTGGTCCCACACGCCCAGACCAGAATAGCCAAGTGGCTGGCAAACAGCCCGCCGAGGACATCACCACTAGCACCTCCACCACCACTACCGCCACCAACACTTCCATTACTATCACCAACACACCACCATCACTTCCATTACTATCACCAACACACCACCATCACTTCCATTACTATCACCAACACACCACCATCACTTCCATTACTATCACCAACACACCACCATCACTTCCATTACTATCACCAACACACCACCAACACTTCCATTACTATCACCAACACACCACCACCACTTCCATTACTACCACCACACACCACCACCACAACTACTGCCATCACCACTACTATCATTACCATCACTAATAGCATCTAGGCCATTACCCCTACTAGCTAGGTTCTGATGACTGGCTCGTACACATCACTATCTCAGATAGGTTGCCGGCTGGGAGTGCTTGCTTGCTAGCTAGGGGTTACTTGTTGGATAAAACTAGACAGTGGTTTGATTTGATTCTGGTTAGGTGTCTAGGACTAATCATCAGTTTTGATAGCTAGACTAGTCAGTGGTCATGTAAGGACTAGTTAATGGTCTTTATAGCTAGGACTAGTCAGTGGTCTTGATAGCTTAGTTTAAGTCATTGGTCTTGATTTGTCGCTGGCAAGGAAAGTTGTTAGACAGAGCTTTCCACTACTACATATCTCAGTATCTGACTTGACCAACTTCTTTCCAGTGCATTACCATAAAATACTTATAACAGGTTTAATAAAACAGCTTAATAAAAGAAAACTGTCCCATCGATTTTTTTTCATCGTTCCGGAAGCCCTTTTTGGTGTCTGTAATTTTTTACCAACACAAATATGTCACAAGAAATTTGCCATTTAGCATCATTAAGCATATTCAGATTCGTCTTCTATCGAAAATTAGTGTACATAATATATTAACTTGACATTTACTACTATTGAACTATACTTTTTGTCTTACAAATTAAGAACCTGTGTAGAACACCAAAGCTGTTAAGTATGGATATGTGGACAGTTCATGGTGAGATGGATGATAATCTCAATTCCTGTATCACAAATTTTTTTCTAATCTTCTTTGTCTTTAGTCCAAGAGAGAAAAAAATGTATATACTGTACAGTACTGGTTTTGATATGGTGCTACTGGTGGCCAAGGGTCACACTGCTCTCCCAAAATACTTAGCAAAGGTCTGTTTTATAGTTGTTGTTTCCTCTCAGTTCTATCTTGTGGGTGTGACACCTCACGGGGCTCACAGCCGTGGTGTAGCGTCTTAAGTCTGATATTCTTATTGTGAGATTTTCTTGGTTTAAGATTGTCTCAGTCTGAGATTGTCTTAACCTGAGTTTGTCTTCTCATATTGTCCCAGTTTGAGATTATATCTAAAACTTTCTAATCTTAAATTAGAGATTATATCCGACCAATTGCACTTGCCTTGGCTTCAAATTTCAGTGAATACTCTGTATGCATAAAAATTGCCAAATATTTAATTACTACACTTACCATTTAGTGAGTCTGGCATATGCAACCCTTAACAGCTGTTTTTAAATATACAGCACTCTCCTCCATTTCCAGGGGTCTGGTTCAATTCCTAGGTGCTCCCAGTTCACCCAACTGTAAATGGGTACCTAAATTTACAACTTTAGGAAGTGAATGAGGTCGAGTGCAGTTCCAGCCAAGCTGCCTGCTTGTGTTCTGAAGGTTTAGTATACAGTACACTGTCCCTAACTGGGAGTCATGCCTATGGGACCAACTTTCACATAAACCTTTCAGATGTTTCTTTTAATTTTTTTGTCTATTACATTAAACCATAAATTTATGTGATAGTTAGGTTCCTAGAAAACATTATGAAAACTGAATTTACCAAAAAATAAAAATACTGTAAGTACATTGAGTCCATGAGAAACATGGAGGCAGGTTCCAGGCTCTCATTAGTTCCCCATGACTGGCTACAGGAAAGAGATCTTATCATCAGTTGGCCAGTATAGATACAACCTAATACAGAAAAATGATTCCATCACTCCAATTCTCTTCAAAAATGCTTTTCTTCGCACTTTCGCTGCATTCTACAAGGAATAACCTTTCCGTTGATACTAAACTTGACAATCTAAAAGGAGAGTCTTGCAAAGACAGCATGTGTGTCTTCCTTGGTTACAAAGTCATTATGGTACTGAGGCTCTGAGGAAGCAACCAGGATATACAGTACAGGGAGCAGCTAATATGTGAACAATTCAAAGTGCTGCACAAAAATTCAAATGGTAGCTAGTAGCACTGCATCAAGATGTGTCACAATCATGGTTTAGAGTAATGGCAGGGTTACAACAAGCTGTACAATTAAATAGAGAAAATAAATTAAAGCAAGTGAAAAAGGACTCGCTGAGACCGAGTTGGAATCTATTATTAATCCTTGATTAATTTAGTTTTCTATCTATCTTCTCATTTTTTAGCTTGCCTGTCAGTAGAATAAAAGGTAAACTATTGCTGTCCAAATGGTGTCATTGTTGTTATCATTGTCGTTATGGGGGTATTCAGCTGTTAAATTTTGATTACCTTTCATATTTAGTGATTTCCTGCTAAATAATTGGTACAAGTGTTTATATTCTATACAGGGGGTCCCCAACTTACAAACATATGACTCACGAATGCTTACCAATATGAACGGGGTTAAACTTTAAATTTACAGTACTGTATTTTATTTACCTGATGACATATTTTTCACTTTCATTTACTGTATTTTGTCATTCTATTTCTTCTTTTCTTTTAAAATTAAGTGATTTTAGAAGTACTGTATACTGTATAAGGACCTAGGCTATGATATAGTGGAAGTTTAAACATTGCTCTGTAAGTGCGGTATGCACATAACATGTGTACCCACTTACATACATTTCCGACTTATGAACGTCCTCAGGAACAAATACAGAGGAGTCGCAATAATTTGTGAAATACAAATTCATGTTCTTAAGTTCACAGGTACCTCCTTTTTAAAATTTGCAGTCAAATATTCATAATTCGCAGCTGAGTGGTGGCTACCGCAGTGTGTACTGTATTTACATATGAAACCATAAAAGTTGTGGAACTATCATTTCAGTGCTCTAATGGGACTTAAGAACCCTCCCCCCCTCAAAATAATATAAAACTACAAATTAAGAAAATGAAGATTTGGATGCGAATCCTGTATGGAAGACATGGTCACAGCTGCACCAATATTATATTAATAACACCTACGCTCATTCATATTATGCTCCATCGTCCATAAAACATCCTACATGAGTCATCCATGTGCCCATTCTTTTTACATCGTATCAAAGAGAACAACATATTTTTGTGACGTGTTTATGTTAAACGTAGGACAGGCTACACATTTCATGATTGTGTAAACCAGCAACTCTTGGAGAAAGCTCCACTCTTCTTCAGATTACAATTTTAACAGTTTGACTAGACCCCTCCCCTATACAGTACACTCGTTAATACTACTGTATATCATCTTGGATCACTTCTGTTGACTTTCACATGTTCAGTAGCTTTCTTGACTAAATCTGATGCTCTAAAAGAAATGCATACTATTTCACTATCATGTGCTCTAGGATAAACCCAGCACAGTATTGGTTGCACCTGTTGCCATGTACTGTAAATCACAAAGATGTGTACTACAGGTATTGTATTCAAAATCAAAGGTATGAAAAGATCTTATTTTAAATAAATTAATTTATATATACAGTAATTATAGTACTGGTATACAAAGTCCTAAGTCTAATCATGAGAAATCTGAGCATGAGTAACAATATTGTATGCTTATGGAATAATTCTTCTACTAAACAACTGTCATCTTGTTTATGTATCCTCATCACTGTTTTCAAGCTCATGGTGATAGCCTTTTTGTTCTGTATAGGTGATGTTTCCTGGTGGTACCACAAAGTAGTCTTCAATAGTTTCCTTGGCACACGCCAGCAGTTCTTCACTCATGTCACCAGACCTTACCTCATCCTCTGCCAGAGTAAGAGACCTGAGAGTTGACAGGAAACTGATTACTGGATTGATATACAAGAAATAAACACAGTTTTTGAATATTAAGGAATTCATGTATGAAGACCATTTTATGCCAAAGAAATAATTTAAACCATAATAATGCATTCCAAATTTGTTTTCCAATTTTATCAATCACTACTCTATACTGCACAGTATCACAGTATAAGGTAAGTTATTAAAGACCACCTAAGAAATTTCAATTAATCATGATATTAAAACTGAACAATGATATGGAATGAAATGTTATTCTAGTGGTACAAGTATCTGAAAACCTTAAAATAAGGAAAACTAATACCAGTAATTGAATGGATGTTCTGTATGTACCATGGCACAAACAAAAATCAGAACACTATTACTGTATATACTCAAGTACAGTATAGTCCAAGTTTTAACAATCAACTTTTATACAAAAAGTGGGGGGGTTGGCCTAAAAATAAGCATTTCTTCGTGTGCTAAAGTGAACACACTTAGTAGGGTAGGGGGACCATGGAGTGTGGGATTACCTTTGCTTGGGAGAGGCAGCATAGCTGCATTACTAAGGTAAGTGTCGAGGCCAAGCAGCCAGCATTTCTGAGACTGTGAGGCAGTGTGTACACTAATTTGTATAATTTTTGCTTTTGTAATGCTTTCATTATTGCTTTTTATGGTTTCATTATTGCTGTTTACATGCCTACAATTTAAGTTTTGATTATTTATTATTTATCCTCTTCGCCACTTGTCAGCCTTTTAGCCATTTGGACAATCACTCACATTTCTGTTGTACACTGTTGGCAAGTACTGAGCATAAACTGGCTCTAGAATGTATCGGTACCTGCACCAGTGTTGGTCACAGCTGGTCTAGAATGAGCTGACACTCGGTGCTGTTACAACACTCTCTGGTAGATTGTTTCAAGAGTTCACAGCTCTCACTCTAAAAAAGTTTGCCCAGACAGTTTTCTGAACTTGTGGCTTCCTTAACATTAAACTGTGACTCCTAATGTTACAGTGTACAGTTAAAGCTACTTTTGGGTTGAATCTGGCAAAATTTATAAATACAAGTTGGAAACTGGCAGGAATTCAGTTAAAGAATTGGTATATCAATTATTATTAACATTGTTCATAACGTCAGCTGTTGTGGTGTTGATCAAGGTCAAGATGTGTTGGTGAGAATCTGGTTTCTTGATACAAAATTTGTCTATGATTAAACAGTACCTGGCACAGTATTTCTCAAAAGCTAGGGTCAAATTAAACACACAGGTAAAAATCTGGCTTTTCTTTTTCCAAAAAATCAGGGGTCAGATTGTGCACGTGATAGGCTTATAAATGAGTATTTATGGTATATCAGTTATTTCTAAGTGCTGTAACTGTTATGTGTACAGGTGAACATTTACTTAGCAGATCTTAATTACAGTACTGTACATACCTGTTCTCAAGCACAGTGACCAGCGGTTCCACTCCTTCCGTGTTGACCACACTCAGTTTATCTGCCATGCTATTAAAGAATTTAATACACGGTAATATAGTATACTGTACAGTACAGTATATAAAAAAAATACACATCAGAAGATCCTGAAAAAATGCATTCATTTGTTTATGCATAATCAAATTAAATAAACCTTTTGCTTCCCAGAAGAAGCTGAAGCTTTTCAAAGCTAAAAATTACTGAAATATGGGGAATTAATCCTGAAATCCCATTTTTAGATCCCTTTGGTAAGCAGTTTGTGTAATACTGTATGTATGCCAAGCCTTCAGGTTGGACTTATGGTACCCTGGTATTGGTGAGACAGTAACTAACCTTATAGTTAAAAGCAACTAACCTAAAGCTTAGATAAACCCTAGAAGTGGAAGGTTTGCATGCATCTTACAATTCAACTGCCAGGCTTTCCTAACTTGGAATTTCTGGCTTGACTTACACTTTAGTTCTCACTAACTTCTCACCAAAAAGCAGGAAGGAGAGTGGGCTGAGTTGCCTGGCTATGGGCTCTCATAAAATGGGATTTCAGGATTAATCTGCCATTGTAATCTCATGCCCTCTACATGTACTTGGGGGCTCAGGTAACTGAAGCCAGCTAGAAAACAGGTGATACAATACTCCACTGAACAGGTAACGTGCATTCCATTAGTAAAATTAACCAAATTAGCAAGAGACGGCCATATCTAAAAGGATGCTGACCAGACCACACAAACTTAACCAAGCTACACAGTCCAACGACATTATTAGACACCTAATGAATATCTTGGCAGGTGCCCAGGCCCCTCATTTTAGGATTGATGGCATGTCCTGCAGAAAGGACATGCAACCAAATATACCCCTGAGCTCTGACATTCTATTTGCACAGCCTGGCTATGTAAGCCAGATTAATATAGGCATGAGTGACAAGTAATTGTTCAGAGCTCCTCTTGTTCTAAAAATTAAAAGTTATACTTGTACAGTAATTTTAAATGGTTCATAAATTAAATACAAACTGACTGCTCTATTATTTGAGAAAATTTAATAGATACCCAGCTTACTTCTTCCAAACATGGAAGGACAAACACTCAAGACTTAACTGAAGAATTAGTTTCAGTAAGAGTTTAAGACTCGGTCTAAAGCCTACCCATTAAAGATAAAGACCCAAGAAGAAAAAAAAACTTTCATACTGAGGGCAATGAAAGGGCTTTGCAATTTAGGGGTACAGCAATATGGCAGGGTTCTAATTTGGGGTCAACATAAGTTGAGATGCTTGGGTCTTTGTTTCAAAAAAGTTTACACTGCACTATGACTTTTAAGGAAATTAAAGATTTGGGGAAATCAGAGTTTCAAAAAATTCTTATGAACAGTAGGTTTCACAGCAAATAAAATTCATTGATGCACAGTACGACTGTATGGCACAGAGCAAGGGCACAAGAGGTTTAAGGATGACCCCTGGTAAAGATAACCTTCAGATGCCATCAGTAAGACAAGTGTAGCCCAAGTCAAAAGCTTAATTACAGAGGACCATAGTTTCATTCGATGAAACAAACACTGAGGTTGGCATATCACATAGAAGTGTTGTGATTAACATTGATAAACATTTGAAGATGTCCAAGGTCTTTACAAGATGAATTTCCTTAAACCTCAGTACCAAAGGATGACCTCAATTCAAGAGTGCCTTAACCCCTAAGGTACTAGTGGCCTCTGTACCCAATAAAATTGTCTGGTGTCAGCCAAACAAAATATTAACTGTGGCAATCAGTAGTGAAAGGGTTAAGTTGTACAAAGCTAATCTACCAACTCCTACACCCCAGATCTTGCTCTCTCCAGTTGACTATTAACTGTTTAAAAACCTGACAACCCAACTCCAAGGGCACCACTTTCAATATGATGAAATGACGTGTGATTGAGATTTACCCCATAATTCCATCCTTTACCATTAAAACTAGTCAATCTTTCACAACACAATCCTAGCCCCTAGAAAAATGTAAAGATAGATCTGAGTCCTCCAATTCATCCTTAATTACAAAAAGTTATTTCAAAATCAATCCCTCATTTCTAAATCAAACCTGGATTGGGTAACTTATGTATGTTGAACCAGTTAGTAAAGAAAGGTGGACAGGAACAATAAAAGATTCCACACAGTACTTGCAGTATATTTTTGTTTCATACCTTATTGCAGCTTTTAATCTGACCAGACCTTCCATATTAGCAAAATCAACAAGTGATAGTTTTTCTAGCAATTGTACAAGCTTAAGATCCACCACTGTCTTGGGTAAGAGATCTTCTTCATTGATGCTTGGAAAGACAGGGTGTTGTGGGACCTTTGACTCCTTATCTGCAACTGTAGAATAATTAATGTAATACAGTATACTTTGGCACCAAAAAAGTAAGTGAAAAAATGTGAGACAACAATCAGATTTAATGCTAGTGTACAATATTCCAATTTTTAAATATAAAGCTAAAGAACTAGAATACTGTACTGTAAAATGTAAGCATATGTCAAAAATACAGTAGTCTAAATATATTTTCTATCCATTGTTTATCAACCTTTCTTAGCAGTTGCAAAAGCTTGTTGTGGTATTGTATACGACACAGAGATCCTTGGAGGCAGCTTCCTCCAACTGCATCTCAGCACAATTTGTCTTTGGCAGACAAGTGCCATTTCTGAGATTTTTACACTCTTCCCTGAAAAATAGGTTACATTTTAATGTCTATAAGAAACAAACACTCAACCTGGTAATTATTATATTGTACAGTACAGGAGGTCCCCAACTTACGAACGTCCAACTTATGAACGCCTGCAAATAGGAATGGGGTTAAACTTGAAATTTACAGTATTTTATTTACCTGATGACTTATTATTACTTAAATTTACTGTATTTTGTCATTCTATTCCTTATTTTGTCTTAAATTAAGTGATTTTAGATGTATATAAGGACATATGATATAGTGGGATTTTAAACTTTGTTTTGTAAGTACGATATGCATATAGCATTTGTTCCAACTTAAGAACGTCCTCAGGAATGGAACCCGTTCGTAACCCGGGGATCCCCTGTATACAGTAACTACAAAGCCATGGAACATCCTCATATATTGTACTGTACAGTATATTCCTATGTACAGGGTGTACACTGTTGTGTAAAATATAATGTAACAATATTCTCCCTCAAAAACTACATTAACAATAGATGAGTCATTGTTTATACAGGTAATCCCAAAGATGTTTGACTTTTTCCATTAAAAGTTTTAATAAATTTTTGAGTCACTGTTTCATGATGACATCACTGGCTTTAAAAATATATTTTGTAGCATTTTAAGATACACAGTGCTGTATATGTATAATTTTTTGTAGGAACATAACTCAGTTTTTGTAATGGAAGTCTATGGGAAAATGTGCTTCAATTTATGAAAAATATATTTACGAAAGCTTTCTTCAGGCATGGAACCCCATAGACTCCCATTATAAAAGTTAAAGACATTCCTGCAGAAAAAAAATCCTCAAAACCTCTTAAAAATTACACAAAACGTGTTTATGGAGACAATTTTTGGTGCAATGATTATAAACCAATAATAAACATATTAAGTGAAATACTGTACAGTAATAATATTATACAGAACTGTTCCTGTACTTAAACAAAACCGGATGAAATAAGAAACAAAGAAAAAGTATGAAACACAAGCCGACACCTACAATAATTGTATCACCCTAGTACTGTACTGTAATACATTGGCTCCCATTATACCATATGATTAGAGATATGTTCTCTGCCACAAGAGCTCTGAGATTTGTCCAATGCCTGAGTAACTTACTCTGTTACACTGTTAGTTCGTCGTCCAATCATGGTTATTGAATCTTCGTTGATGTAACAGCAACGAAAATTAAGTTTACACATGTACAGTATTATATTCTTTCAAGTCGCCATGAAAACATTAAGTAAACCTACTTTGGTTATTAAATCCCCATTATGGTGTCAAACTAATCTTTACCTAAACCTAACTAGACAAACCTTACCTACCAAACCCAAATCTAACATAACCTAACTTTACCGAAAATACTACCGAACAAAACCAAAACAAATTACAGTATTTTAAGAATTTATATTTAAGGTCAACTATACTGTACCTACTGGCAGTCACTGAAATGAAGACAGTATGGGGTCAGATGTCGGTGTACAGTATACATGAAGCAAAAACAAATCATAAAATTTATATCACAAAATGTATTGTGCATTTTTCATCAAAACAATGAGGTATTGTAGCATTTATGTCCTATTGATGGTGAAATGTCCTACAGTAGGTAGTTAAGGCATACAACTGTCTAGACTATAACCTACACTATTACCTTCTCCAGGTAATCAGGTTTCCTCCTGTAATAATCCTGGACAATTTAGGTTATGACAAAGTACTGACAGACCACCTGAGTGGCTAGTGGTGAAAATGAAAAATCCTTAAAAATCACTTGGCTACCGCTGAAAAAATAGGCGTAGGAAACAGGAATGGCAGCCATACACAAAACATCTATACAGTAGGTATGGAAGCATAATGCACATGTGTGATGGGCAGACTATACAATAATAGTTATTAAGATGGCCTTCTTTCTGACTAACCTAACCTAAACTGACCAAAACTAACGTTATAAGAACATAAGAAAATAAGGAGTCTGCAATAGGCCGGTTGGCCTGTGCATGGGCAGCTCCTGTCGAGAGTTACTACCACTCTCTATCATCCATGAATCTATCCAGCCTCCCTTTGAAACTTTCCAGCGTTCCAGCACTTACTACAAGGTTGCTAAGCTTGTTCCACTCGTCCACCACCCTATTTGTAAACCAGTTCCTTCCTATATCCCTCCTAAACCTAAACTTATCCAACTTAAATCCGTTGTTCCGAGTCCTATCCTGCTCGGATATTATAAGAACTTTATCTATATCACCTATATTGATTCCTTTCACCCACTTAAGTACTTCTATCATATCTCCCGCACTCTTCGTCTCTCTAGGGAATGCAAGTTTAGTTTCTTTAGCCTATCCTGATATGGAATGTTTCTAAGTCCCGGAATCATTTTTGTCATTCTTCACTGCACCGACTCTAGTGAATTTATATCCATTCTATAATAAGGGCACCAGAACTGAACCGCATAATCTAGGTGTGGCCTAACTAGCGCAAGATATAGTTGCAATAAGACCTCTGCACTCTTATTACTTACACTTCTAGATATAAAACCCAATACTCTGTTTGCCTTATTTCGAACATTAACGCACTGTTTTCTAGGCCGTAGGTCCGGGCTTACAAGTAATTTTTTTTTTTAGTCTAATGATAATTTCAAACAAAAACAAGACTGAGATATTATGAGTTGAAAATCAGAAAACTACCTGTGTCCTCATTTTTGGGGTTATGGATGTGGTCACCCTAGTTAGGTAAGGTTCTTTGGTTGGTTAGGTCAGGTTCTACCCGGTAGTAAATGTCGCCTATTTTTAAATACTTACTATGATAAGAACATATGTGGGAAAAAATTAAAGAAATCGAATAACTTCTGGTGGTAGCGGTTTCCTCATACACTACCCCAGAATAAACACGCTTAGTTTATCATCTGGTGAAGACGAATATATTATTTTCTTTGCTTAGAATAAATAAGGTGAGGAATACCTTTGTCAAATTTAGGCATTCAAATATTTTATAACATTAAATAGTATTTTTTAAGATATCCGGTTTCGGTGATATGACATCAGTTCCACTTACTCTTAAACTAACTAAAATTATCATAAATTTGTACGGTATGAGAACGAGTGTCCACCTACGCCATTTGTTTGTAAACACAAGAGAGCAGCTGTATAAGATAATTCGAGTACAACTCTAGTCTTACACCAGAAGCTGTGCAAGCCACGTGTATTTAAATCACTGAAGTGGTTATTCAATTGGGTGTAACTCACACAAGAAGCTACGCTACGTACGCCACAGCGCCACATGGCCAGGCCATGCCAGATACGTGGCTTTCAGATCGCTTGGCCAGCGATTTTTTCCGAGGCTTTGGTTGGCATGCGCAGTATAAATTTTTTTCTCTCGCTAGTTGACAGGCGGAGGGAGGTCGTGCCGTCTATTAAGGCCAACCCACGTCGTCTCGCCCTTCATTGTGCACCAGTGGTGGAGAAGATGGAGGAACTTATTGATGAAGTGAAGGAGCATCCATGTTTATATGACATAAGAATGGAGGAGTATCGAGATGTTCAAAGAAAATATAACATTTGGGAACAGATAGCACAAAACCTACAGCGTGATTGTAAGTAGTTTATTGTTGTAAAATACATTGCTTGTGTTCCATATTAACCGAACAAAAAAGTATATATTTTACCATTAAACCTATTAATGAAGTGATCGTGGTTAAATCTTTACATTTGGAAGCACCTCTCTCTCTTTCTTAATGACGGTAAGTACAGGTATATCCAATTCCCACGGTACACTTCCTTCCTCTGGTGTAAAGTACTCCATGAAGAAATTCCTAACTTCAAATGCCTCTCTTGCAGCATTGGCTCCAGTTTTCATTAACCTTGGAAAATAATCTCCCCTCTTCTCTTCATTCTGAATAAAGGGTGAAGTCTGTTGGCTTGATGTTCTCAAGAAATTTTGAAGAATGTTGATTTAACATTTTCATCTACTAGTTCTAATTTACATTGAAACGGTCTTTTAAATACCCTCCATTGTGAAGTGTAGATACCAAAGGCATTTTCTGCTACTCTACTTCTTGAGAGTGTATAATTAAAGAGGTGTTGTGACATTTAAATTGTCTCCTGGGAATGGACGCATCAAACAGCATGTTAAAGGAAACGCTTCATCACCAACTATAACGAATCTTCATTTTTACTTTCATCCTCTTTACCACTGATCGGCTCGTTAGCCGCTTGGGCGGTCAGTCACGTCTCTTGTTACGCACTGTTGGCATGCACTGGCTCCTGGATATATTGGAATCTGCTCCAGTGTTGGTCAAGTCTGGCCTTGAATGAGCTCACACTCGGTGCCGTCACAACGCTCTTTGGCAGATTGTTCCAAGAGTTCACAATTCTCACTCCGAAAAGGTTTGCCCTCACAGTTTTCTGGACTTGTAGCTTCTTCAACTTTGAGCTGTAACCCTTGTGGGGCGGACGTCCACCAGCTCCAGGTACCTTCGACCTAATAATGCCCCCTGAGATGTTTATACACTTAGATAAGGTCACCCGTCTGTAGTATAAGCAGGCGTTCTAATATCTCTGGGTAACTGAGGAAGATATTGAAAGCATAATGTGTTGTCTAATGGTAGACCCTGCTGCCATATGGCATCACGAATATTGTGACCAAGTCCCAGGTTGCTGATCTGACTTTCTGCCTCATTTATTCACAATTGCAGGGTCTCAATTGTTTCTCTTACTATTGACAACACAACATACTATACATATAGCGTTTCTCACTATTGATTATTGTTTTTCTTTTCTTTATTATAATTATTACAGTGTTGTTATTATTATTTTATTTTACTTTTTATTATAAATTTTATTTATTTTATTTACTATGAATTACTATTATTATTAAATTTTCGCCCCCAGGCCTGATGTGGGTCAGTGACCTGTGCCAGGTGGGCTAATCCCCCCCCCCAAAAAAATGGTAGTCTCCAGCATACCTCAGGGGCCAGACAGTACTCCAGCTGGGGAATCACCTCACTCTTGAAGATCGTGACGAGCGATGGATCATCCAGGTATCTAAACGACCTTCTTAAAAGTCCTAGCTTCGTTGCCTGATTCATCATCATCTTGCAATGGCCCGAGAACTTAAGTTCATTCTCGACATACACACCCAGGTCCTTTTCACATTCGGTCTCAATGCAGTCTCTTCGTCTTGTTGGGAGATGTGATACACCCCCTTACTGTTGGTGCGAGCCAAGTTTATCCTTTTGCTCTTCGTGACATTGAATCTTAGCAGCCATTTTTTCGACCATTCTTGAAGCTCATGGAGTTCTTTCTGTAGCTCTTGACAGTCTGTTTGGTTCTTAATTTTCCTAAATAACTTGGCATCGTCCACAAAATTTTGTATTGAGAGGTGTATAGCTTCTGGCATATCATTTATGAAGCAAACTGACAGCAACGGGCCCAGTACACTCCCCTGTGGTACCCCGCTTGTCACAGGTACACATGCCGATTTCGTACCATTTATCACCACGCACTGTTTGCGGTCATGCAGAAAGTCTCCGATCCACGCTAGGACACTTCCCCGAATCCCGTACCCTTCCAGTTTAAGTCTCAGCCTTTCATGGGGTACGTTGTCGAAAACCTTGGCAAAATCTAGGCGTATATTGTCGATATTTCCGCCTTGTTCTAGAATTTTAATCCCATATCCAGTACCTTGAGTAATTGTGTCAAGCAGGATCCTCCCGGCATAAAACCGTGTTGGCAGTCCTTTGTAAGGTTGTTTCGTAGTAGTTGTTCCATCATGGCATCTCTTACGATGCTCTCTAGTACTTTGCACACTATGCTGGTCAGTCACTGGTCTATAATTATTCGTAGAGTGTCGATCACCCTTCTTGAATATAGGACTTACATAAGCCATTTTCCAGTCATCGGGAACCATTTGCTTATCCAGGCATTTGCAGAACAGGATCTTAAGGGGCTCCACAAGCTCGTTACACAGTTCTCTTAGCACTGGGGTGTACCATATCAGAGCCGGTAATCTTGTGAATCTTTAGCTTTGGCAGTTTATTTCTTATAACCCCATCCGAGAACACAATATGGGTCAGCACTGTGTCAAACCGTCTTTCCTCAAACGCAGGAAGATTGTATGCATCCTCTCTTGTGAACACCGATGAAAATTTGTTCACCGCCTCCGCCTTACCCTGGTTAGAATCTGCATAACTACGGACCAGCTTCAAGCCTCAGGTCCGATATGCTTACTCACGTTTTTAATTTCGACTTTGCGTAGTGGTAAAAAGCCTTTGGGTTTGACTTGACCTCACTTGCAATCTGCATCTGGAACTTTTTCAGTAGCCCTTCTACCCTCTGGCAATGTGGAATTTACTAGTGGCCTATCTGGAGGAACACCTAACGAGTTCCAATGTGCTATTTTTAGATATGCTTCCATCATTATTTTTGCCATAAATGCCTGTGTCCATGACAGTGAAATTGTAATTTGCACAAAATAGGCCTGGAAGAACAATTGAATACTGCTTTTTATAGATGGAAAAAGTGTGAGCCTAAGTATGCTTTCCATTAAGAGCACTAATGCAGTGGGGGAAATTCAATTTTACTTTGAAATCCTCTTCAATATTTCTCCACTTGTCCACATTGAGCTCGTGCATGGAGAGAGGATGCAAGTTGATCCAAACGGCATTGCAAACTTCACATACAATTTGTGAAACCGTTGTATTTCCCCATCAGCAACTAAAGCCAATCGTCTGGAATGTGCCGCCTGTTGCGATACCTGCAACAAGGGCATAAGGAAGCATCTTAGTATTTATTTTTCACAGCCATAGCCTAGTAGTTGTTTTTCATTTTATGTCTACCACTTGTTGATTTTAACCTGACATTTGTTTATTTTAACCCGAATAGTTGTTCCTTTTCACTTGGAATACTTTTTTATATAGTTTCAGGCTAATGGCTATTTGTTGTTCCCTTTAAGCCTGTTTTTTTTTTTTTTTTTTACGGGGATTAGCCCACTCGGGCACAGGTCACTGACCCACATTGGGGCCTGGGGGGGCGAAAATGTAATAATAATAATAATAGTAATAATAATAATAATAATAATAATAATAATAATAATAATAATAATAATAATAGTCATAATAATTCATAATAAATAAAATTTATGATAAAACAAACAAAAATAAAATAATAAAATAATGATGATAATAATACAGTAACTGTAATAATAATAATAATATTAATTATAAAGAACTATAAATACAAAAATGAAAAAAAAGATCAAAAGTGAGAAACGATATATGTATGTTGTGTTGTCAATAGTAAGAGAAACAATTGAGACCGTGCAATTGCGTGTAAATGAAGCAGAAAGTCAGATCAGCAACCTGGGACTTGGTCACAATTTTCGTGATGCCATATGGCAGCAGGGTCTACCATTAGACAACACATTATGCTTCCAATATCTTCCCAACCACGGAAACTTAAGGATGATTTTATCTTTCTTCAGCCAAAAGTATCAAGCAAGACTGGAAGAAACTCAGGGATTGCTATCGACAAGCACAAGCTCGAAGAAAGACCACCAGTGGTCAGGCAGCAAAGAACTGGAAGCCTTGGCGTTACGAGAAGCAAATGCAGTTTTTAACTGCATCAATGAGATCAAGAGAGTAAGTGATTTTTTTCTTTTCTTTTTATATATGTACATAATAAAATCTGAGGAGATATAAAACAAAACATAATATAAGCAATAGATTGACGTCCGTCAACATTGCAATCTGTATGTACTGTATATACAGTATATATTTTTGTCTGCTGCAAATTGAACACGGACATCATGTATTTCATTTGACTTCGATCATTATTAGTTTTAAATTAAAGAATACTTTAATTTCATTTAGGACTAACACAAACATCGAGGATATCAACATAGATTGTGTTGATGACAACAATGAAAGTACTGTAACAACTGCATGTGACATGCAGGAAGAGATTGCAGGTTCTGTATCTACTTCAAAAGATGGGGATACCCGTTGTCGTAAAAAGAGGAAGTCTTCCACCCCAAGTGATGTCGATAAGGTCATTACGTATTTGCATGAAAAAAGGGCAATGTCTTACAAACAGGACGATTTGGATTACTTTTTTATTAGCGCATGTCACTCTACTAGGAAGCTATCTCGTAGGCTTCAAAATCAAATCAAAAGAGAAGTTCTGGACTGCATTGCAAGAGCGGAAGAACAACACGAGTATGAAATCTCAAAACATGTTTTTGCACCTTCCCCAGCACCTTCCACCTTTTCTGCTGCAACTGCATCTACTGACTCTGATTCATCATTTGCCAGTTCCTCAAAATGTGATGCATAATATCCAGAATGATAAAAATGCTGTATGTTACACATACGTTGGTTAAAAAATATTGCCATACCAATGTATATCTGGGTATATAATTTAGTGAATGATCCTGGGGAAAAATTATACCAATTTAATATGTACAAAGATTTGAAATAGTTATATTTTAGCTTGTAGAAGGTTGAAATTTATTTCTTTTATTTTTTACTTTTATCCTCTTCAACCACTGATTGGCTCTTTAGCCGCTTGGCTCTTACGCTCCATAATGAAACAAACAAAACAATAAAGGGTAAAGTAACGTTTCATACATATATGTGTTTAGTTAATAATTACTTAGTTATTTTTATTATATACCAATGTAGAATTAATAAAGTTTTCATACCAGTGTACTGTATGTTCTGTTTTTACTTACCGTAGACAAGTGGCCAGTCTTACATGGGATGATATAGATTTCCTGCAAGACGTCTTTGAGCTGAGCCTGAGATAATCTAATTTTTTAATTTTCCTCATCAAGGGAAACCTCCTTTACTAGATGATGGTGCTCTTTTTTTCCATATTTATTTCGTGTAATTCTTTCCACTTTTTCTTGGTTAGTCCCAGTGTCAGAAGTAGAATGTCCTCATCTGTCTGAATCATCACACCACGGAGCACAACTGACTATCTTGAATGATACCTTAGTGAAAAGGGAAAACACATCTAGACTCTGCATTAATATATTTTGAAAGTTAAAACCTCGTATTTTATCAATTAAATCTTAAAGAGTGTCTTACAGTTTGTGTGAATGAGAAAATTCTGCCTTAACAGAAGTCAGTAAACTGGTCAATTACTTTGATAGCTTGCTAGAATATGAACCTCTACTTGATATTGAGCCTGAAAGGAACATTTTCTTTGCGAATCTTAGGGAGCCCATAAAAATATGGGGGAGTGGGGTTGATAACTTTATGCTTTTCTAAGTACTCTGTGTCCTTGTTCTTGGTAATATTGAGTACTCTTTTACTGAAAATAAGTTAATGGAAGACCAACAGTACTTCCATCACCAGTGACCAAGATTATTTCTCTTATTAGACTGTGTTTCCTTAAGTTTGTTCTCTTTCAAAGATGAGTTTTATCGCTAATGGTTTGGCTGTTCAATGGAAGGGGGGGGGGGGAGACTTGTCTTCAGTGCTATCTAACCTTTATACGGAATATTACGAATCCATCTTGTTACCTTTAATAAACCCTAGAGAGTTGATATGCTATCCTATGTTGACGACATTTTCACCATTTAGGACGAATCTTGGGTTTCTTTTCATCATTTTTCCTGAAGCTAAATTCATTAGTTCCCAGCATTAAATTTAAAGTAGATGTGAAATTTTTGGCAAACTTCCATTTTTAAATATGTTGACTATGAGAGGAAGTAATGAATCAGACTTCACTGTTTCTAGGAAGCCTACGCACCCAGGTTACCTTCACTTTTCCAGTAACCATCCTGAGCAAATAAAGAAAAGTATGGCATCTGGGTTTTTCCTCAGAGGCTAAAAAATTCTAGGTCTCATCATATACCTGTACATAAAGAAATTTCTGAGGTAAAAAATGTCAATTAAAAAGATTAGAATACCCAAATTGGTTCTTACGTAATGCTTTAAACTCTGCTAAATCCAACTTTTATAATAGACCACCCTGTGGACAGGAACATGGCAACCAAAAATATTTTAAACTACCATACAATAAAACTACTGTACATCCTCATTATTGAAGAATCTAAACAATGAAAAACAAAATCAAAAGAAAATAATATTCAGCTTTTCCAACAAATAGAGAGAAACCGGAATGTGTTCCTGCGGTGTATAAAATTCCTTATAAACAAATGTAACAAAGTTTATATTGGTCAAACTGGCCGTAATTTAAGTATTTGAATAAATAAACAAACATACTGTAAGATATGGACAGGTGAACTCTACCATCGTCAACCATGTACAAAATGAAGGCCATGCAATAGATTGGATTTTTTTTAACGGGGATTAGCCCACCCTGGCACAGGTCACTGACCCACATCGGAGCCTGGGAGGCGAAAATGTAATAATAGTAATAATCATAATAAATAAAATTTATAATAAAAAATAAATGAAAATGAAATAATAAATTAATAATGATAATAACAATAATAATAATAACACTGCAATAATAATAATAAAGAAATAAAAAAAAAGAGCAAAAGTGAGAAACAATTTATCTATGCTGTGTTGTCAATAGTAAGAGAAACAATTGAGACCCTGGAATTTTGTGTAATTGAGGCAGAAAGTCAGATCAGCAACTTGGGACTTCGTCACAATTTTCGTGATGCCATATGGCAGCAGGGTCTACCATTAGACAATACATTATGCTTCCAATATCAAGTATACTTAAATTTATAAGTCCAATTGTAACTTCAGTAGAAAATTTTTTGAAGCCTTATCTATTAATTCTACAACCAACTTTAACCTGGCATATGGTCAGTGGACCCCTGACCTGACCCTGAGTACTGTCTATACCTGGAGCTGATGGACGCCCGCCCGCCCCACAAGGGGTCACACAACTCAAGGTTGAAGAAGCCACAAGCCCAGAAAATTGAGGGCAACTTTCTCGGTGTGAGAACTGTGTACTCTTGGAACAATCTCGCAGCCACCGAGTGTGAGCGCTTTCAAGACCAGACTTGATCAACACTGGAGCAGGTTCAGATACATTCAGGAGCCATTGCATGCCCAATACTTGCCAACAGTGCGTATCAGAGACATGACCGACCGCCCAAGCAGCTAACAAGCTGATCAGTTGCGAAGAGGATAAAAGTAAAGATTATCCCAAATCCCACCCTTCCTCAACTCGGGAGTAAGCTCATGTGACTTGATCCCCATGTTCTATGACCTCGCCTGCTTGTTCTGTTAGTTGCCTGAAGTCTCCTAGTACTGTATTTGGGCCGAACTATACCAGCTCCAGATTTCGCCTCTTATCTCTCTAATGTGGGCTTTTCTTCATTTACTAGTGTGACCATTACTCTTTCGGAAAAAATTATATATATATATATATATATATATATATATATATATATATATATATATATATATATATATATATATATATATATATATATATATATATATATATATATATATATTTCTTGTAAATACTGTATTCAAGTGAATTGAACCAGCTTTACTATAAGTTATATTTCAACTTTTGTCCATCATCAGTTTTCGAAAGTGAATACGATTTATTTGTGTATGGTTTCCTGTTGTAAAACTTGTTTTTCTGCCGAATTTCTCGCTTGCCTTGTGGGTCTTTATGGTGCTTGTGTGCCTTGGCCTTTGCATTGCTCGACCTACCTTGTGAATTTAGTAGAGAGGGATTTATATATGAGTTTTGCAGTAGATCGTAATCTTTTATGGTCTTGGTTTTTATTACCTGTATTCTCATATGGTCAGTCACTCAGTCCTAAACATTAGTGACGAGAGTCAACATGTTTTTAATAGCGTTGTGGAGTGACTATATATACATATATATCTATATATATATATAGATATATATATATATATATATAGATATATATATATAGATATATATATATATATATATATATATATATATATATATATATATATATATATATATATATATATATATATAGATATATATATATATATATAGAGATATATATATATATATATATATATATATATATATATATATATATATATATATATATATATATATATATATATATATATATATATATATGTATACTGTTTACACTGGATGTCAACATAAATATTATTCTTGACGTCATATGTAAACAAAAATGGTGGTGATCGTGGCAGCGAGGGAGGTGCGCATGCGCGTGTTGTTGCTCTCAGCTGATTGCGGAATTTGCGGACAGTTTGAGGGGGAGTGGGATGAGGCGCCTCAAGGACACCAGGCTGGGAGTAGCGGAAGGATAGCCACCCACCGGAGATATTGTCAGTCTTGAACATCAGTGGCAAGAGTCAACATGACAGGTGGAGACCTTTAATAGTGTTGTGGAGTGACAATATTCACAGAATACAGTTATTCATTCGTCATCCTTCATTGCATAAGTTTGAAAGGCAGGGGTTTTGACTTAGTCATAGCACTGCACAGATAGCAGTTATTTTTATGAGACAAGTTTGGTTTTTACAGATGAGCATATTGATGTGGCGGCACCTTTAGCAGGTTATGTGATATCACAGAAACTTTACCTGTAGTTTCAAAGTGGACTGGTATTTGCTTATCTCCTATCAGTCTTTCATATACTGTACCATGTGGGAAAGTACTGGTATGTATTAAAATTTAATTCATATTTTAGGAATCACCAGGATTAAGACCATGGAATAGGGTGTATCCAGTGTTAAAGTTAATTAAAGTACATATTCAATTTTGGTAAAAAAGATCTGACCCATGTAGATAATTATTTCATAGTGGATACAGGTATGACATTTGTACGCCAAAAATCACACTGGATATAGGTACGGCAGCCATATTGACGGACTGTGTTCTTAATGGTTACGTTAGGTTAAATGGTAGGTTTGGTTTGGTTAGTCAGAAAGAAGGCCATCTTAGTAAATAACATTTTATAGTCTGCCCACCATGCATGCGCATTAGGCTGCCGGATAAATATTCGTCCATTGATAGTTCTCAGGTTTTGCTACAAAAATAGTTTTTTGTGTGTATTATGGTGTGTTATACTCAAATCTGATCTTCATTTCTTGTGCAAATTAGCGGTTTTGAAAAATTAACATTTTCATTTGTAGCCGAAACTGCTAATTTGCACCAGAATGGCTGTCAGGTTTGAGTAAAGCACATTATAAAACAGCAAAAAAAGAAACAACTAACCTATCCATTTTTTTGGAGCTTACCTGCTACTGCGGTGGAAGATACAGCTGGGTAATCTGGTAAGCTTTTAGTTTCAGACAAAAGAATTTGTCTTTTCTTAAAAGTAAAAAATTTCCACACGTTGGACACAGTCTTGATGTTGGTAGGACACCTTATCTTGTAATATTTGGATTGCTTCACTGTTGTTCTCATAAACTCTCTGAATAACAGCGAGACATGGGAGAGAACACTTATCACACGCCACCACGAGCCTTCAAAATTGCGTTGCGGAAAGCTGCTTCAAAATGATTGGCCAGCCAAGTCACATAACATGATACTTGAAGGTCATTGGCTGTCATGTCGCAAAGATGAGGAGGAGAGAAGTGACTGGCAACATGGTGGGTAAAGAAATTTACGCCTAGAAATTTGTGAGATACTCTGTTATTATTGATTTGCACAAGAAATTATATGAAGTCATATGTTTGGGTTTTTATAGTCTTTGAGTCTGTAATATTGAAATTTGGAATCCTGCAGACAGCAAATTGACGAATATTAACCGTCTGCCGTACCAATCGGCGTAGACGTTTCGCATATGGCTGCCGTACCTGTATCCTGTGCCTAATTATTTACCTAGAGGTGGCCATGCCAAGGGAAGGAGACCTGTGTAGGATCCCTCCATTGTTCTTGATAATTTTGTCAAGTTCTATTTTTAAGCCCAGTACTGTTCTTGATTCCACAGCTTGGGCTGTTTAGACTATTCCATAGGGTCCAATACCCTTTGAGTGAAAAAGTATTTCCTAATATTCATTCTGCATGATAGTTTGGTGAGCTTGTAGTTATGTCCTCTCGTGTTGGCTATACATGACATCACAAAGAAATGTCCCGGGTTTACGTTTTCCTCCCCTTTCAGGATTTTGAGTGTTCAATGAGATCTGCCTTATTGTGCCTTTTCTGAAGGGTCTTCAGTCCTAAGGCCCTCAGTCTCCATAACTCTATATTCATTTTAGTCACTCTGTGTTGCACCTTTTCTGGTGATGTTAGATCTTTTAGGTGGTTGCATTTTTTATTCCTGTATACATTAATCCAGACTTGGATGTACACTCGCAACAAAAAGTATCGGTGCATACTGTAGTGTGAACAATTTGAGACCAGTGACGATAGGTATTGGGAAAGGCGAGTTGTTCCAGCCGTATGTTGGCAGTCCTGTAATCCTGCTGAGCTGCATCACAAGCAGCTACTATGGCCTGGTCAAGTGAAACAAACCGTTATAAATAAGGTAGGGAAGTGATAAATAGACAGTATGAAATATGAGGAGCTCCCTGTTAACAAAATTATTTGTGATACTTGTGAATATCGCCGCATTAATTTATGCTACCAAATAAACCACTCAACCTGGTCGTCCTGAGGGGTGGTGCAGCGTGGACGGCCGCTCCGAGACCTGTCGTCTGTAGCACCAGTTTCGAGGTATCGCCGAATCCATCGTGCAGCGGTATTCCTGTGGACTCCAACCTGCTGGCTAATATCTGTGACACCGAACCCTTTGTTATGAAGGGCAATAATAGCTCCTCGTGTTTCCTCTGAGGTTTCCATGTCGTCTGGCATGAGTAGATCTCTACTGCTTCATATTGCCTCTGTTTTATACCCACATTCACCGAGACCGAACCCTCGCTCATCATTTAGTCGACACAAAGCAGCACTCCGAAAAGAGGAAACAAACACACTGATTGTCAGCCATATGGCAACACCTAGTGGAGGGGGGGGGTTATGAGGATACACTTACCAACCTTCCCTACATATCACAGTGTATACGTATCGTTTCGGAAGTCGTCAATCACACCCTGCACCGATACTTTTTGGTGCGAGTGTACTTGAGGTTTTTACAGTTGAAGGAGCATTTTCCTATCTTTGCATTGTACAGTATTTGAAGGTATTCTTTATAGTTTCCAATTTTTAATTGACTTTTCTCACTGCTGTCCCCATTTGTTTTGCTGCCTTCAGTGAATGATCTATCACAATGCCTAGATCTTTCTCCTTATCAACAGTATCCAGGAAAGTGTTATTAACAGAATAGTTGTGATTAAGGTTGTTGTATCCTACATGTTAGGTCTTGCATTTTGTAATGTTGAAGAGCATTTCCCAGTCTTGAGACCATTTGAACATCTCGTGGAGGTCTTTCTGCATTATTGCAACATCGTCTTTACTTGCTACCTTTCCAAATATCTCCGTGGTGGGTCAGTATTTAGAAGTTGCCACCACCTAATTGCTTTTTGAAAATGGACATTTTTTTTTCTTCTCAGCACCACAAAGCTCTCACTTTTAAGCTTGCCAGCCATTTTAAAGTGAATTACAAACGAAAATTTTGTCTGTGTACTGACGTTGGGACTCGAAAATACGTAATTTGACAAATATATATATATATATATATATATATATATATATATATATATATATATATATATATATATATATATATATATATATATATATATATATATATATATATATATATATATATATATATATATACAGTATTACCCCGCTTAACGCGCTTTCACTTAACGCGTTTTCGCATATACGCGGTGCCTTGCCAAAGCTGAACTTTCACTTAACGCGGATTTTTCCACAGCAACGCGGTGAGTGTCCGGCTCGAGAGCTATTTTTAGATTCGCACCACCCCCCACCCGCCACCCTGCCTGACTGCCTGTTTTAGCTCATAAAATTCATACAAATTACCCAGCCAGAATATAGTTTACATTGCTGGAATTCTTATAATTTGGTGATCATTTTGAATATAAACAACATATTTTTTGCATTAAACATACAATTTTTAGATAAAATGTTTAATCTGAGTAAGTATGTTATCTTTTGTCCAAAATATATGACATTTATATTCAAAATATTCCTGGTCTTACAAGGAATCCAGCAATGTCAATTATATTATCCTAACTTTAGTTTGAGGTATTATTTATTAAAATTTAGTGGTTATCCCACACATCTCCTTGGGACGGTTGGTGGGGGGTGGGGGGGAGGGAGGGACCAACCGACCGACCATCTGTTACCCGGTGAAGAATTATTTTTTTTAACTGAAGATATTTGTTTTAGCTCATAAAATTCATACAAATTACCCGGTCAGAATATAATTTACATTGCTGGAATTCTTATAATTTGGTGATCATTTTGAATATAAACAACATATTTTTTGCATTAAACATACAATTTTTAGATAAAATGTTTAATCTGAGTAAGTATGTTATCTTTTGTCCAAAATATATGACATTTATATTCAAAATATTCCTGGTCTTACAAGGAATCCAGCAATGTCAATTATATTATCCTAACTTTAATCTGAGGTATTATTTATTACTAAATGTTAAAAACTCTTGAATGGAGGATTGGTGGGGGGTGGGGGGAGGGTTGGGACTGACCGCGCGGTTGGAAGAGGGGGGGAGGCAAGGTGGGGTACTTTGATTGACAGATAGTGTTGAAGAATATATTTTTTTTTTTATTAACTGTAGATATTTGTTTTAGCTCATAAAATTCATACAAATTATCCGGCCAGAATATAATTTACATTGCTGGAATTCTTATAATTTGGTGATCATTTTGAATATAAACAACATATTTTTTGCATTAAACATACAATTTTTAGATAAAATGTTTAATCTGAGTAAGTATGTTATCTTTTGTGAAAAATATATGACATTTATATTCAAAATATTCCTGGTCTTACAAGGAATCCAGCAATGTCAATTATATTTTCCTAACTTTAGTTTGAGGTTATCCCACACATCTCCTTGGGACGGTTGGTGGGGGGTGGGGGGGGGGAGGGAGGGACCGACCGACCATCTGTTAGCTGGCTGTGTACTGTAGTGTGAGAGGGGGAGGGAGTTGAGTCCATTATTTGAATGGACATTAACTTGGCGACTGTATTTCTCTTAAGTATTAATTGTGTGCATGTACCATCATAAAATTAAGATGTTATTTTTACTACAACATAGTTATTTGTCGTCAAAAAGTGGAGTTTGGGGGTCGGGCTGGGTTCTATTGGAATTAATCCCATATGTTCTGTTATTCACTTAACGCGGTTTTCACTTAACGCGGGACCCTCTGGGTTCAATTGACCGCGTTAAGTGGGGTACAACTGTATATATATATATATATATATATATATATATATATATATATATATATATATATATATATATATATATATATATATATATATATATATATATATATATACAGTGACCCCTCGTTTAACGAACACCTCGGTTAACGTAATTTCGATTAACGAACTGCCTTCCATAAGGATCTTCAATTCGTTTAACGAAAAAAATTTCGCTTAACGAACTTCTTACGAACCGACCTCAACATGTTTTCGCTTGCACTGACCGGGCAACCAGCTTTAGTATCAGTCCGCCAATACATTAATCGGTTCTAGGGCTTAAATTCCTTACTATTTTTGTAAATATCAAGAAGTTTATACTATTCAATAATTTTAAAAGTTTAATATTCAATTTTTTAGTCATTTTAACAATTATTGAACAAAATTGAAGGTAAAGTGACTAGTTTAATGCGCGGCATCCAGCCTCTTAACACAGCAAACAGGCGTCAGTCTCTCTCTGTTTTCACTGGAGGTAACATCTTGCTTGAGACTCTCTTCAACTAAACGCTTTTTTTCTGTGTTTCCAAGCAAATTATTGGTCATTTTGAAATATATTTTATATTTTGACAATATATAATGCAGTGCAGCGTTGATTTAAAGAAAATAATCTTGAATTAAACCAGAGAGCTAAAATTTTATGGGTGAAATGGCACCATGGGGTGACTTCTCTTCCACCCCAATGCCTTCTCTTCTTCCTTCTCCTCCACCCCCATTCTAAATCCCATCATCATCATCATCATCCAGGAGCCTTCTACATACACACCTCAAAGTAAGTGAACTTTTTTAAAATTTTTGTTGAATTTAGGAAATTTTCGGTGAGCTGGAACCAATTACCCAAAAACCCATTGAAACAATGGTTTCGGTTTGAAACGACCTTCTGGACAGATTGAGTTCGTTAACCGAGGACCTGTATATATATTATATATATTATATATATATATATATGTAATAATATATATATATATATATATATATATATATATAAAAATATTACCTTAGCTTTAGTATATCAAGATATATCAGTTTTCATTGTGGTTACGCCAGAAATATATATATATATATATATATATATATATATATATATATATATATATATATATATATATATATATATATATATATATATATATATATATATATATATATATATATATATATATATATATATATATATTTCCTGTATACTAAGGTGATGTTGGCTAATTTCCAGTCCCTTGGCGCTTTACCTTGACCCAAGGATTCCCTAAATTTCCTAAACAAGTTTCTTAGTGGGGTGGGAATTTCATTTGGGATCCTTTATCACCTTGGTCTGTGCCCCATCCACTCAAGGGCTTTGAATTCTTTCAAGTTGGCTACTTTTGATGACATCATTTGTAATTGCCATCTTTCTTAATGAATTTTCTACCCAGTAAAAAAAAAAGTTCTCTTAGGTACTGGCATGCTATCCATTGTCTCTTGTGTGAATACTGATGCAAAGTATTCATTTAAGGTATGTATCAGCTGTCTGTCTGTCATCATCCAGGGCCACTTTGTTTTTGTCCTTTTGAGGGCTGACAGTATCCTTGGTTTTCATTTTACTCCTAGCATACACATAAAAGGACTTGGGATCTTTCTTAGTACTTTGTATTTTAGGCTAGTTTCATCCCAAAGTGTCATTTGAATGATCTAATTTCCTGATTGGCCAGATTTTGGGCTCTTGTATATTACATTATCTGCATGGTGCCCTGTGCTCCGTCCGGTATTTCTTCCACATCTGGTATTTTCTCTTGTCGGCTTTCATAGGTCTGTAATTCATCCACCTGGTCCTATTCCCTCTTCTCTTTGTTTTTTGGAGTATACATTCCTCTACTCTGTAACTCAAGGATTTCCATGCAATTTTACATTGATTCATCTATATCTGGCTCCTCTTTTACGATTTCCTCCCAATTAATTCTCTCTAGTTTGTCTCTCATGAGCTGGTAATCTCTACATTATGGTTGAAGAGTACTTCTCCTCAACTACTTTCTCTCGATTATCTCAGTATGTAGTGGACATTGGTCAGAGTTAGTTTCTCCCAACATGGACCTCTTTCACTATAGCCTCCTCGTTCGTCAAGACAAAATCAAGAATATTGTCCCCTCCGCATTGGTTCTGACACATGTTGCGTGAGAATGAATCTTGAATGACATCAAGGAATTCTTCCTCAGCTTGTGTGGTAAGATACACCCAGTCTATTGTCTCATGATTAAAATCTTCTATGATGAGGTTTTGTGCTCTGGATGACTCTATGGAGATCTGCTACTTCCTCCCCGAGGCTAAGTCAGCCCTATAGCACACACCTATTGTCAATTTGCTTTTGTTTTGGGCTATCAAATCACATTAAATAGAATTGGATGATCCCATTTCATTTAGCTCCTTCACATACAGTCGTACACCACCACCTCTTGTGGTTCTTTCCCTTTATAAATGGAAGGTGATACCCTGGTAAATAAAATTCGCTTTGTGACACATCCTCTTGACCCCAAGATGACTCGCTAATTCCAGTGATGTCTGGTGTTCTGTGTCTGCATAAGCACTCAATACATCAGTCTTATTAGCTAACTAGAATTTGGGCATTTGTGTACCAACATTTGATTGACCCGGTTTTTAGGACTGTCATTTTGAAGACTGATTCTAGAGCATTTGTTCTCACTCGGGTACTAGTATTACAGTACTTACAGGTACAACATGCACAATGTTAATATTATTTACAGTTGGTTCACCACTTGCCCCCTATTAGTGGAAGGTACAACTCTCTTCACTTTACAGGAGCTCATCATATAAACATTCCACAAATCAATATCTTTGACATATTTGTTTTAATTTGATTCCATATTATGTTGACTATTGCTAGTTTCCTTCTGTCAAATGTACTGGGTAAGCAAGCACAGTGTGCCACACTGCACAAAACCTGATGAGCCCCTGTAAACACACTAGTGAAGGGGACTGTACATTACTTCAATTTCTCCATCTTCCTATATCCTGAATACTTGGCCTCTTCTGATTTTAGTTGAGCATTTCCATACTGTGGGTCGTTGCAAAGCTCCTTCAGTTTGTCCCTGAGCTCTTGCTGTTTTTGTTTTTTGTTGACGAATTGTCAGGTCAGGGGTTATGTACACATTACAGTGCTATATTCTGTTACTTACTTGAGTTTCTGTGCCGTTTTTACGATATTCCTCGCTATGCACTATGCATATATTAAATTTTTCCACATTTGTGATGTTTAACTCGTCTACAAAGCCAATCACATTTGTCAGTGTTTGTTTGACTGATTGTTCGTTTGTCTCTTCTTCCCTTATGTAAGTGACTTTGGTGATGTTCTTATTCATGATAAGAGTAATTGAACCATATCTGCAACCAAAAATACACTTGGATGTGGGAACTACAGGGGTCTGAGTAAAGAGTCACTTTATGCCATAATGGGAATTTGAATACAGTACTGTACTGTATTGGCGGATTTTAAGTTTGCTAAACACATTTTTGTGGAATATTACAGTATGTAGTAGTTTTTAAATGCAAACCTTAATAAAGAAATTCTCCACCTAAAGAAAGTAAGGGAGAGATCTCCATTCCTTTTACCCTATTTACTCTGTTGGTGGTATTAATAATTCATGAATACAGTATTGACATAATTCATGATAGCAATCTTTGGCCTCATCAGCTAAGGGGATCAGGGGGGATCTCTCTCAGTCGTGCAGATTTTTAGGTCACATAGTTTACATACAGTACAGCTATAATTTGACACAACAGGGTGACCCAAAAGAGCCTCCATTTCATTTCTCCCATGATTTACCATACTTAGTGTTTTCTATCTTCTCTCTCTCTCTCTTGCCTTTTATCTCATTCATTTATACCTTCTAATTAATTTTCCTGTAACTAACATTTCTTTATATATTACGGTTCACAAACTTTCTTATATGAAAATGGTACAATATGTAGATTTCTCTTTGTCTCTTTTTCAGCGTTTTTGCCTTGTACAGTACAGTACAGTATATATAGTGTGATAGGTAATAGATATAGTGATGACAGCCTTGAGTTATTTATGTAATTTGGGTTCTTTTATCTCAACATAACCCAATTTTTTTTATTTTCAGACTGCATGAACTGAGGAGTGACTGAAGTAATCACAGAGGTGGTGGGTAGTTTTATTGATGTCACTTAAGCAGCAACACTCTTCATCTTTTGCTTCTTTGCCTGCCTTTATTATTGAAATATTAAGCTTACAATTAGTGAGCTGGCTCGATTTATTATACTGTATATATGTATGTGTGTATGTATATATAAAGCATTGGTCCCACCTAGTACTGTATAAGGTTATTTTGTTGCTAATTGTGTACCTATTTTTGTGCTCTACCTTGAGTTTTAGTACTGAAATATTCTTCTCCCATTGTCCCTTTGCCAATATGTACTGAAGTATCATGTGCATGAATTGTTTGCATGAGGTATTTTTTCTAATCAGTGGAACCTGACCAAATGATTTAAAATTGCCTGTACTGTACATGTTTTCTTTATGTTTATCTTATCACCCCAATTTTGCAGTCTGATATTTGTGCAAGTAACTGATGACCTTGCTAGAACTTCTTTATAAGCAATGGCTCTTCAGTTGAGCTTACTGGTAATCACCTTCATTCCTCACACTTCTCATCTATCAGAACTCCCTGCCCTCTTATTCTTTTCCACCCACTTACAATTTGCAGTGTTTTAAGTGTAGGACATACACTCACCTCTCTGCAGAGTTAATTTTGCATCATGTTCTTCTCTAACATCTTTGGTGCACTAGACAAGCCAGGTTTAAGTGTAGTCTTTTTTGGGTATTGCCCATAAGAAGACACTCTACACTATCATTTTTTCTCCTATAGTCCATCACAATTTTAATAAGGAATATTCTTGTGGACAGTGTATTTAATCTTCTATTTCTTCTCTGGATTAAGAGTGTGTAATGTTGAATTTATCTACACTTTTATGATATAATTGTGGCTGATATAATTACAAAACCAGTACACTCATCTGGAAAAGCCATTGTTTGCAACTCATGGAAAGAAGGCTCAAGTAAAGCTTAGGGTACAGTAAGACAAGACTGAAAAGATACTGTGGAGGAATAATAAAGCTAAAAAAAAAAGACGACTTAGAAAATTCAGATTAATTTTCATGTTATTCCATTGGGCTTTCAGTGCCGAGTTATTTGTATGATTCTTAATATGATACAGTATACTGTAGTACAATACAATACATATACAGTAAAGTTTTTGGGTGTCTGAGGGATGGTGATAATGTTGAAAACGTACACATCAGTAGAGTTTGCACTTCACATCCAAGTTCATCATTGACTGAGCATCATCTTCCTGTTACATTATGTATATTATACTGTATTCATCTTCCTTGATGTGTATGTTATCTGTACAGTATACATATTGTGCAGTATTATACTTCATTAACTTTCTTCTCTTCATTCTTTGCAATTTTGACTCGGTTATTCACATTGTCTGTCATATATATATATACTGTACTGTATATAGTATAATTTTTATTTTATTTTATTTTATATTGCTCTCACATTTTCAGATTGGCACTCCCTCTAATTAATCCTAAATTTCAATACCGGTAGATTGCTGTATCTACTTCAGTGTTTGTGTCCATGGACTTGTCATTTCTTTTTATTTTCTGGTTATTCAATCCATCTTCTATTTTTGTTACAATCACAGTACTGTACAATATGTCTTTCAAATCACACTTCACCCCTCTGACATGGTAGTTGATTGATTAAGTAAATGCATTTTTGTTAGTTAATTATAACATTTATTTGTTTCATGTTTTCATTGGATTTGATTGTAAAAATTTCAAATGCTGTATACAGTACTGGAGTAGTGTTCATATTTTGAAGCATCTTTAATGGTTTGATAATAAATTGTGACTAAACTATAAGTATTTTATAGTTGGAGTTCCTTCAAACTTTTTGACTGAATGCAACCTTTTTTATACAGGAAGACCCACAGTATCCAAAGTAATGGTACATGTAGTTGAGTAGTGATGGCACATTTTGTAGAGAGAAATTAAAGTTTTAGCAAAAATTTGATGCATAATTATTATTCTTTGAAACAATAACTCGAAACACCTTTTTTTTTTTCTTTTACTTGCAAATTTGAATGTTCACATCTCTTAAGGAAAAAATATGCTTTACACAGTGATTTTAATGTTGTTAAGATTTAAGCCCTACACAGGCAATGTCTTATGTTACTTCACTTCTAAAGTTCTACATACAGTACAACTAACCTTATGTCTTTAAAAGGTTTGTTATCTTGGGTGCCTTGGACTCGTAAAAGGAGGGTATACACGCATTAAATTTAAAGGAGGCCCAGACTGGGCCCTGCATTAGTTTTTATCATACATGCTTCTGATATCTATTTTGTTATTTCATTTTTCATGTTTTTGCCTGTTTCTAAATCTGCTTCCTTTTCTTCCCCTGTCATCCTTTTTATTCCTCTTCTTCACTTATCTTGAGTTGTGTGTGTGTGTGTTATAGTTTTACACTATAAATTCACTGCTTCTCTAAGTATGTTTATTTCAAATACAAATTCTCATGTATGTAGATATCCTGTAATTACAGTTCAGTACTGTACTATGCTTATCTTATCCCATTACTTAACACCCTCATTTAACATGTTACTGTCAGTTGGTATCATTATTATCAGTCTTCACTACTATTATCACTTGGTTATTGTTTGATTGTATGGCCCTGGACTTTACATTGTCTCGGTTCTGTTATAGGTTCAGAAATGTCCTTTTGTTTTTACATTGTCTTGGGGTGAATTTAGTTGAAATGGAATTGTAAGTGAGTTGATTGTCAAGAAATGCTACGATACATCATTACTGTATTTAATTTCACCATCCATTATCTCAAATTCATCTCGGTATGAATGGGGACCGCTGAGTTGTATAAATACTAACTGGCAACATGTATCTCACCCTTGTACAGTACATACCCCGCATGGAACCTCTCTCACACCGCAGTTGACAAGTGGTGGTCCTTACGTGCACTCATTATAATTGACGCTGTAATCAAGTAATTAGGAAATTGGACATCCAAGAAGGCTTTTGTGCTTGTTTGTTTATAGTTGTGAAAATAGTGCTATACTGTAGTGCATGTTGGCTTCATTATGTAATGTAGTACAGTACTGTATTGCATACTGTATTTTTATGCTTTTCTAACAAAGTTAATATTTGTGAATACAGTACTGTACTGTACCCAGTATATTGTGATATGTGTGATTATTACAGTATGAAGAAGAAGGAACTAGAAATCTACTTGTGCTTTCAATTTTAGCTCACCAGAAAATATCCCAGACAATTGTGTGTGTGTGTGTGAAGTGACTTACATGGAGCTATCACTTTGTATTTAAAAATCACATATCTGAAATTGAATTTGGATGTGCTAAGCTTACTCACACGTCATACTCAACACAAATCATAAATATTTTTGGATATTGTTGTTATATACAGTACAGTACACAACAGTAACCAGAGAAGGTTTATGATTCTTGTGTAGTATGATACGTGTGAGTAAGCTTAGCATATCTGAATCCAATTTCTGAGCTATATTTTTTAAACCAAATGATAATACAATGCGAGTCACTTCACACACACACACACACGCTCCTGTCTGGAGGAATATATTCTGGTGAGCTAAAATTGAAGGCACAAGTAGATTTCTAACTCCCTGTTCTGAAAACTTGGATTGTTAAAAAGAGTTCAGTGGGTCAGATATGTTAGACTTAGAGCACACACACTTGTTAACATATACACAGCTGTACACACATGAATAATATATGCATAAATTAACATATATCCATAAATTTATTCATTTTGGCAAAACTCTTAGACATTTTTCTGTGATGACTGTATTACACAGATTGTCTTTGAAATTTAAGTTATTATTTACATTCACCCTTGAACAGTACAGTACCATTGTTCTTGGCACCTTGGACATGCTTATCACTTGGTGACCTTTGACAGGGTAAAAGTATCATGGGTCAGCAGTTACTGATAGAGGAGATAAGAGTGTGCCACATTATTACAGTATGGTGTCCTCTAAACCTAATTTTTATTTAAGGTGCCAGTAGTGTTATGTCTTGCAATTATAGAGTCTTAAGGTTTTGTTGTATTTTGTTGATGTTAATAAATACTTCAATCAAAATAAGCAAATAGGAAGCTTGAGAAACTTGTGGTACTGTGGGTGTTATGTTTTTGGTAAAGATAATACTGTACCATTACTGTTGGTGGATCAAAGATAAATTATTGTATGGAATGTAAAGTACTTGGATAACAGTTTCTGAACATTGATACTGTATTTATGAATTTAATACTTGCATTTTTGTTTGCAAAATGTTTAATGGGAGTTCTGCTGTAGCCTCTTTTGACAATGTGATAAGGGGGGTTACTCAAGATTTTACCATAACCTACACAAACTGCATTTTCTTGTACGTATCTGACATTACATTGCATACAGTACAGCATAGCAGGTTTATCTTAAATGTAAACACACTTTACCATTGAATGTTAATTAGTGGTGTATCATCACCACCACTAGGTGCCCCCAGGCAAAGCTTGCTGTTGCCAAAGAGCATGCTATGCTTGGTTGAAGGATGACACTCCATACAGACAGTTTGAACCAGATGAGATCATGCCTTACCCCCTCTTAGTTTCTTGTTGCTAGACAAAATATGGTAGCCTTCTCTATTTGATCTTAAGTGGACAGCCTGAGAAGGGGATAAGCTTTGCTACTATGCATATTTTTGTACAATACTGTACAGTATTTATATTTAGCTAGCTGAGGTACCCAGAGGTGCCCAGGCTTGTTTATGAAGAAAAGTTAACCTGCATGGGTGCAGCCACCATCCCCTTGAATTAGAGGGGCAGCTCATAGTCTGTGTCTGTCCTTGGCCAAAATTAAGTGGTTATACAGAAATATAACCATACCTAACTTAACCTAGAGCAAAATTTTGCTCTCTGGTTATTTTGAAAATGTCCACAATGCATTTTAGTGAGTTTGGGGTCTTTGATCCTAACATATATACTGTACTGTATTGTATACAATTTCACAGATGCAGGTATTCATCTCAACATGACCTTTGTAATTAAACTAATTATGTAACAGAATGTTTGGGTTTTAGTGTTGTCTGCTCGCCCCTAAAAAAATAGACATTCCTGAGTATTCTTGGAGCTATTTACATAATCATACCAAATCTTAATAACTGTGATCATGCTTAACAACGGAACAGACAAATTGATGTAAAGTAGTGATGGTGATGATGCCTGCTCACAAAGTTAGTCCATACTGCACTTCTCTTTTTTAGAGAGTATTTTGGTCATTAACTTCATATATGGTATTCTCCATTCCAAGGCTGATTTCGATTTTGGTTGTCACTCTAGAAGCCTTAACCCATAGGCTCCTTGAGACAATCACAGGGTACAGACCAAGAATCAAGATTTGTTATGAGTGAGAAGTATGCTTGTGTCTCAGTTACAGTACAGTATAACTAATTTCCAGATGAATGGTGCACTTCTGCCACTAAGCATAGGATGCTTAGTGATGGTGTATCCTTTGGGTCATTCAATTTGTTTCCTTTGCCTTTAACTGGGTTTTGTATTTGAATCCTTTGTTGAACCTACAAGAAAACTGTCTTCACTATGCAGTTAATTTTACTTTTGATGCTCCTTATAATAGCAGGTGCTCATCTAAATTAAAGAGAAGAAGAATTTCATTATTGTTCCTTTCCATGATTCATTGTAGAGGGTAATTTGACTGTAATGTTACTGTCTTGTACCACATATGCTGTATATAATGCCGTGTCTTTCTTTACTCTTACAGGTGTACACAAAATATTCCTTGGGGTTGGAGCAACAGGCTGGCCAGTTTTGTTTCTGCAGAGTTCAGTACGCTTCTTACACACCATGGCAGGAAAGCCTTGCCCAAGGTTTTCAAACCACACACCTCTACCTCAAGGTGAGACTAATATACAAGTGCTTTATATTTACTTTACTGTACAGTACAAATGTCAATGTTAATTTATACAAGTACTGTTCAGTGTTGATACATTATATATAGTGGCACTTAATATGTACAGTTGGCTCTTTTGTTATACAGTATACAAATTTTATATATGCAAGCTATGGTATCAGTGCATTGAATCTTGCTCAATCCTCTCATTTTCAATCAGTGATTCACCATTCTTGAGGTATGTAATTGTACAAAATATGTGTAACCTGCATTTTCCATGGTATATGACCATGAAATACACTGGAAAGTATATGTATATGTATATATATATATATATATGTTAGGAATAATAATCATCCCATTGCTTGGGAAAAAAGCTTAAAAGTATTTAAATCATCTTGTGTCACAGAAAGACTTCTGGTTGAAGCTAGTTTGATTAAGGAATTAAAATCAATAAACCTAAGTGATGGTCAGTTCAAAACTGATAATATGTTACATAAATTTATTTGTCAGTGGCCCAAGGTTAAAAATGCTTTGAAAACCTTTGATCTAGATGTATGATAGTTATTTAGTGGGTCCCTTATTTTTGACCTGACCTGACTAGTCACGTCACCCCCCTTCTCTTAAGCTCCTCTATGTGTGTGTTGGTGTGGGGATTAGTGGATGACATCATTATGACCTGACCTCATGTTTTAAAGGTCACCCTGTATATTTAAGCCTCTCTCTGTCCATGTAATCCAGTTACCTCTGAAGATGTCTTGAATGAAGACGAAAGCTAAGGTGCTCCGTTGTTTCCCTTTTCCCGTGTGATTTTATCAAGATATATATATATATATATATATATATATATATATATATATATATATATATATATATATATATATATATATATATATATATATATATATATATATATATATATATATATATATATATATATACAGTGGGGTATGCTATAACGAATCTAATTGGTTCTAGAACCTTGTTCGTTATAGCATTCGTTCGTTATAGGATTAATCCGTTCCAGGCCCCCAAATACAACCACTTAACACTGAAAAATATAATATAAAATTGTAAAAATTGTAAAAAAGTGCATAAATATGCATCTAAACCCCTGAAATAAAGAATATCATTAATATTTGTAATAAAAAAACAATAAATTAGAAAAAAAAAATTAAATAATGTTCGTTGTAGGAGTTTCGTTCGTTATAGCATTCTCAATTTTATAGGTAAAACCGTTCGTTATAGGAATATTCGTAGTAGGATCCGTTCGTTATAGCATACCCCACATATATATATATATATATATATATATATATATATATATATATATATATATATATATATATATATATATATATATATATATATATATATATATATATATATATATATATATTGTTTTATTTCAGCATATCATTTAATGATTGTTTGTTTATTTCAGGGCCACATGTCGTAGGCTGTACTGATATTATGATTGGTCGAACAAAGGAAGGAACGCTGATGCGCCTTTATTATCCATCAAAAGTAACAGACCTTATGGTAAGGCATAGGGTTTAATGTAATGTCTTTACAGTATACAGTACAGTTGTACCCCACTTAACGCGGTCAATAGAACCCAGAGGGTCCCGCGTTAAGTGAAATCCGCGTTAAGTGAACAACAGAACATATGGGATTAATTCCAATAGAAACCGGCCCGACCCCCAAACTCCACTTTTTGAAGACACATAACTATGTTGTAGTAAAAATAACATCTTAATTTTATGATGGTACATGCACACAATTAATACTTAAGAGAAATAGAGAAATACAGTCGCCAAGTTAATGTCCATTCAAATAATGGACTCAACTCCCTCCCCCTCTTCTCACACTACACTGCCGGCTCTTCCCTCTCTGAGAAATTTTTGGGGGAAAACTACTAAATTTTAATAAATAATACCTCAAACTAAAGTTAGGATAATACAATTGACATTGCTGGATTCCTTGTAAGACCAGGAATATTTTGAATATAAATGTCATATATTTTGCACAAAAGATAACATAGTTACTCAGAGAAAACATTTTATCTAAAATTTGTATGTCTAATGCAAAATATATGATGTTTATATTCAAAATGATCATCAAATTATAAGAATTCCAGCAATGTAAATTATATTCTGACCGGGTAATTTGTATGAATTTTATGAGCTAAAACAAATATCTTCAGTTAATAAAAAAAAAATATTCTTCACGACACTATCTGTCAATCAAAGTACCCCACCTTGCCTCCCCCCCTCTTCCAACCGCGCGGTCAGTCCCAACCCTCCCCCCCACCCCCCACCAATCCTCCCTTCAAGAGATGTTGGGTGAAAAAAATAAATTTTAACATTTTGTATTAAATAATACCTCAGATTAAAGTTAGGATAATATAATTGACATTGCTGGATTCCTTGTAAGACCAGGAATATTTTGAATATAAATGTCATATATTTTGCACAAAAGATAACATATTTACTCAGAAAACATTTTATCTAAAATTTGTATGTCTAATGCAAAATATATGATGTTTATATTCAAAATGATCATCAAATTATAAGAATTCCAGCAATGTAAATTATATTCTGACCGGGTAATTTGTATGAATTTTATGAGCTAAAACAAATATCTTCAGTTAATAAAAAAAAAAAATATTCTTCACAGGGTAACAGATGGTCGGTCGGTCCCTCCCTCCCCCCCACCCCCCACCAACCGTCCCAAGGAGATGTGTGGGAAAACCAGAATATTTTAACTTTTTGTAATAAATAATACCTCAAACTAAAGTTAGGATAATATAATTGACATTGCTGGATTCCTTGTAAGACCAGGAATATTTTGAATATAAATGTCATATATTTTGCACAAAAGATAACATATTTACTCAGAGAAAAAATTTTATCTAAAATTTGTATGTCTAATGCAAAATATATGATGTTTATATTCAAAATGATCACCAAATTATAAGAATTCCAGCAATGTAAATTATATTCTGGCCGGGTAATTTGTATGAATTTTATGAGCTAAAACATGCAGTCAGGCAGGGTGGCGGGTGGGGCAAATCTAAAAATAGCGTCTCGAGCCGGACACTCACCGCGTATATGTGGAAAAAATCCGTGTTAAGTGAAAGTTCAGCTCTGGCGAGGCACCGCGTATATGAAAAAACGCGTTAAGTGAAACCGCGTTAGGCGGGGTAATACTGTATAGTCTCGATTTACGCGGAATTAGTTTACGCGTTTGGTCATGTACGCGGCACCTTGCCAGACCGACAGTTTTTATTTACGCAGTTCATTCCATCATTTACACGGGAAGCGGCGTGGGCAGGATGCGCACAAGGTCGCCCAGCTGAAGATATTTGTTTTTAGCTCATAAAATTCGTAGAAATTACCGGGCCAGAATATAATTTACATTGCTGGAATTCTTATAAGATGGTGATTAATTTAAATATAAACAACCTAAAATTTGCATTAGACATACAAATTTTAGATCTAATTTAAGAATTTTATTAGAGGGAGCAAAAATTTTATCTTTTGTGCAAAATATATGACGTTTATATTCAAATTACAGTAGAAGTCCAAAATTCTGGACTGCTTGGGGATTGGGTCAGGCCGGATTTCGGATTTTCCGTATTCTCAGGCAGTACTTTTAAAATTCAAATTTAAGGAGGAATAAAGAAGAGATGAACAGGTACATTTTGATAGTTTATTCATTAGCAAATATAGCATGCTTCATTAATCAAAACAAGCAGTTTTAAAGAAAAAGCTGTGAATTCTAGAATTTTATTCTTTGCCTTTTTTATATCATAAATTGTAGACTTTCCAATGTCGTATGTTTCCATTAGAACAGTATTGCTCACACCATGTTCTCATTTCTTAATTATTTCAAGTTTGTCACTCATTTTCAACGTGTTCTTCTTTCTCGTCACACAACGAAGTTTATCTACTTTAGGAGCCATTATTATGGGCTTGTACAGTACTCTGTAAATGGAAAGAGTAGGACTCAAAATTTCATACTGTACGTTGTCACAGTTTGATTGCTCGTTTTAAAGTGGCGACCGCGTGGTCGCTTGTTGTCGCTGTGCAGCTGTGACGCTCACGCATGCGCACATACACACAAAAGCCCGCTAAATTAAAAAAAAAATGAGTTTTCGAAAAGTCCGGATTCTCGGGTGGTCCGGATTTTTGGACTTTTGCTGTATTCACAGTCTTGCAAGGAATCCAGCAATGTCAATTATAATATCCTTAACATAGTCTGAGGTATTATTTATTACTAAACATAAAAACTTAGTCTTTTCTCCCAAACATTTCTTAGAGAGGGAGAGCCAGCGAGCGTGGGAAGAGGGGGGGGGGGTGGAGTTGAGTCAATTATTTGATTGGACATTAACTGGCGACTGTATTTCTCTTAAATATTAATTGTGTGTGCATACCATCATAAAATTAAGATGTTATTTTTACTACAATGTACTATTGTGTCGGAAAAAGTGTAGTTTGGGGGTCGACCCAGTCTCTATTTCAATTAATCCCATATGTTCTGTTATTTCGTTTACGCGTTTCTTGTTTTACGTGGACCTCCACGGGTTCAATTGACCGCGTAAATGAAGAGTATACTGTATTTCAATACATATGGCAGAGCTGTTAAGGATTGGTACTGCTGTAGGTTAGTTTGGATGTTATTTTTTCTTTTCCATAATTAATATGCTTTTTCCATCATATGGACCATCAATTGTGACATATAGGTACATTATATAGCTACCACCTTAGATACTCACCAGCCATTGTTAGAGCTTGTTTTGTATAGTGGCAGGACATATCATCCAATTGGACAATGTTAGAGCAGCATAACAACCTTCCCCCCAGTTTTATACAGTACAGTAGCTTGTATACAAAATGTATTCCACTATAAAATCCATTCATGAAAATGCTGAGAAGATCAGGGCCAGTGTTACACCCCATAATACAAGAAAATTAGCAGACCCAGAAGTGCATTCCTGGAGAGTAAATAACTGCTTTTTTTTTTTTTCCTCTATTGAAAATTTAGCAAATACAGTATATTATAGTAGTCTTATGTCCGGTGAAAATTTTTCCCCACAACCCAGACTAACCTTTCCAGGAATGCATCTGTGACAATAAATGGGGACCCCTGTACCTTATTTGCTTTCTCTGTGGATCACATGAAATTAAATCTGAATATGAAAAGCATCATGTCCTGCAAGGAAGGCAATATCTTTGGTTTTTAGGTGAAATAAATATATGATCTAAATTGCAAGAAAAGATAGATTTTTAAAGGCAATATACCATTTTACTAATATCCTCCATACAGGTATTTTATTTTTACTATGACTGTGTTAATGAAAATGTGTTTTATTCCAATAAATTAATGTTCATCCAGTGCAATATTTTGTTAAAGAGGCATCACCAGCAGTGGGAGTACAGTATGACTGGCCAGACTACTCAGTTTTTCATTTTCCCTATACTTTATGTAATGTACCATAATTGATTCCTTAAAATTGTGAAGTAACTTACAGACAACTTCTACAGAGCAATTCAGAGAAATGGACCCCTTGGTTTCTGGGGGAAGAGTACACTCGGGGCTTGGCAACCTTCATTGCTCCCTCCATACCCTCCCTCTTCAGCATGCTCTTCAATTGGCAAATGCGTAAGTGTGCAATTTGAAACACCTTTAGCTATTTCTCTATTGGGATATATAAAGTTTAGTTATTTTAGGTCTGTGTAATTATTTGTATGATACATTCAACCACTGTCTCATATCACTCCAACATATCTTCTTTTTTCTTTTTGTTTCTACTGAAATATTATGACTTGTGTACATTATATTCATTCTAATCTGATTCTGTATGAACTGCTAATGTACAAATGACCATATCACACATTTCCTCACTAACCATCAATTACCTGAGCTGGCAAGAAATTCAAGTAACCAATCTCATTTAACTTTCAGGGGGAGTAGCAACCCCAGCAATATGGGAAGCAGCAATGGCTGAAAAAAAATTTCCTGTTGTAGTATTTTCTCATGGGTTGAGTGCTAATCGCTCAATTTATAGCACCGTTTGCTCTGAACTTGCCTCTCATGGGTTTGTTGTTGCAGCCGTTGAACACAGGTAAGTGTTTCTTATATTTCTTATTTGATTTCACTCCATATTACGGTAGATATGCTGTTGCCATGTGTACCTCTGCTCAAATTACTTTAATTAGGTCCTTAGGAGCCCCCTATCTTTGTAAAGTAGGATGTTTCCTGGAGATAATTATCCAGACTAACAATGTGCATATTTACTGGTCTGGAAAAGAAATCCCAAACTTTTGTATCAGTGTATACCTTTACCCATATACCATGGGAACTCACACAAGTTTCTACATCACAGTCAGCTAAATCAGGGCCATTTCATGGGAAATGTAAATTTCTTTTCAATCATGGTTTGAGAAAAGATTAGAAATCCATGCCTTAAAAATGCAAAAGAAAATTGGAATGAGAAAGGGGATTGGTGGGATGAAAGGCTGAGAGTTCAAATTAGGAAAATAGAGGGATATATGAGCACTAGTAATAGGTAAGGAGAGGTGAAAGAAGAGAAGAGTGCAGAAAAATTAGAAATGAAGTAAGGAAAATTTTTGAAAATGCAAAGAGGACAGAAAAAAGTTGGGGAGAAAGTTGGGTACAAGGTTAAAACGAGAATATAAATCATTTCTATAGGGACACAAATTGGCTGAGAATGTAAAAAAATAAATGGAAATTGTCATTGAGAATGAAAGAGAGGATACTTTGTTGACAAAAGAGGAATTATAAGGGAGATAAATAAAATGTTGTAAGGTTGGGCTATTTTGTTAAGGATATGGAGAAGTGAAAAGCAGTAAAACTATTGTACTAAAGGATTAAGACTGTTTTCTTTTAAGTTTGTGACATTATACTAAATGATGGAAGAGAGAGTTTACTGTACTCTATGCTGTAGAAAATTGGGAAATTTTTTAAATGTGTTCCTCATTCTCCCTAAATAGTTCATGTGCATGCACGCACTCACTCGCTCATTTCTTTTCTCTCGCTGACTTGGATCCCTCCCTCACAAGCAAATATCAGTCCACACGCACGCCAGGCTAAGGAGCCCATTGCTATACAACATGACAGCATGTTATGTCTCGTTAGGCAGGAATCTATACAATACATATATGCACTGGGGACCTGGGATAGTTAGGACATTAACCCGTTTATAGCCCAAGAATCTGTCATGGTTAAGCCAAAAGCCTGTCAGGCCAAGAATTTATCATAGTCAGGCAGAGGACCTGGCAAAGTTAAGTTGAGAATCTTTCATAGTGAAGCCAATACAGTAGGGTCGGGATATATTGCTAGATAGGGTCCAAGGATGTTCGCTATATACTAAATCGCGATATATAATTACATGTAATCAATGGGGAAAATAGGGTTAGGTTCTGGAGGCCAATAAAAGTGACTAAACTTGACATAAAATGGCACAGTCTAAAGTTAGCAGAATATAAATTTTATTTTTGGAATCCTTGCAAGACAGCAAATAATTTGAATATAGACATCATATATTTTGCATGAGATAAAATTTTTAGTCTTTTATAGTACAGTACATTTAAATATACAGTACTCTGTACTGTACAGTTTTTCAACTAGTATTTTTGGGGCGATTTAGGGGATTTTTAGGAGTGTTTCTGACTTTATACGGTTTTTATCTTTATGTGAGATCCCAGGACCATAACCCCACATAAGTTGTGAGTCTACTGTAAAGATATTTATCGCTATATATTGGAAAAATTTTATAATTTTGGTTGTCGTGATTAAATTTGAAATATTTCCTGCCCGATTTCCCTGGCGAAAAAAAAAATTACCGCTATATGTAGGAAAATGTCGATGATTTTGGTAGCCTCGATATGAAAAAATTGTTATATAAAGTCGCTATATATCCCGACCCTACTGTAAGTTATTACAGTATGGTCATAACTTTTATTATTGCATTTAAATATAGGAGTAAAGTATAATTGCCACAAAATAGTGAACATTATATTGTACAAGTGGCAGTTTAGTGACTAACATGACTTAAAATGCAGGGACTTGGTAGTGTAGTGTGTGTGTGTGTACTTTTAAGTACTCATTGTTGACTGGACATCTTGCATTTCAAAGTTTCTTTTTGTTGCAGGCCAGACATTGGTATGCATTTGAGGGGCTGATGTGTGATCCTCTGTAGGGTCTGGTTTTAGATAAAAATTAAGATTCAAGGGGTCTTTACATTATGCATTCTACATAATGTACATTTTTTAAACTGGATTCTGGTAATTGATGTACAAAGCAACTCTGCTTTTAATTTCAGGGACCGTTCAGGAAGTGCAAGCTTCACACTTAATGAGAAAGGAGAGAAGGAGTATATACTCTTCAAACCGACCCCACTTGATTTGAAGGAGTACGAACTGAGAAATCAACAGGTACATTTACTTTTCATCATCTCTTATCTTCAAATGAAATGCTGGATATAGTACTTGTCTCCTGTATAAAGGATCATGAATTTGAGCCCAGTGCCCCTGAGGCCACCCAGATGTAAATGGGTACCTAATTTTACAGTTGGGGAATTGAAGTCAGCCTATTGCAGTGCTTGCCTCCTTGTGTACCAAATTTACACTGTCCCTTACAAACTATCAAGCTTATGGAGCCCACTTTCATGTTCTTACTGCTCATATGGGGTTATTTGGGGAACTACTACGTTTTGCTCTGCTTTTTATCTGGAAGTTTATGCACATCATAAAGTGTTTGCTAGAGTTTTGCTTATTGTTTTGTTTAAGAAGGGGGAAAAACAATTGCACTTATTATGTGGTGTCTGTTCTATCTAAGAGCAAGCACTGGCTAGTACAGTGTGTGTATATTCCTCCTCAGACACCTGGGCTACTCAAAATTTATCCACTCTCAAGAGTTGATAAATATAGTTGCTCATATGTGCTGAAAAATTTTCAACCATTCTTAAAATTTATTTGTAATGTACCTTCAGGCTGTTTGCTTCGTTTGAGCCAAGTGTGTGGCCTAGAGTTCTCTCAGACTATTATTTTTTCTGAAAAATTTATAAATTAATATTAGGTCTGGTGCTACCTTTACAGTACAGTATAATGCAAAAAAAGAAAAAGGTCACATTTAAATTTTCCTTTGCCAGTGTAAAAGAAAAGCGTTTGATAGATATCTTTTACTATAACTTAATACAGTACTGTATTGGAAATAATTTGTATTGAGCTGATCTATACTGCAGTTATACAGCACTGTATAGGCTTCATAAAATGGGGTTTCATGTAAACCAACATTCCCCTCCCCCTCGCCCCTAATATGTTCCCATTTCATTTTAGTTTAACTAATTTTTAGTCTTAACTCCCTTGTATCCCTCCTCTTATGTACCTCAACATTCTATCATATATTTCCATGAACCAATAAGATCAAATGATATGTGCTGTTTAACCTATCACTCATTTTCTCCTTACTGACTTCTTCTGAGCATGGAGAGTAAAATAACATTTATTTTATGTTCTAGATAAAAATAAGAGTAGAAGAGTGTATTCGCACCTTGGATGTTCTTGAGAAACTCAACGAGGGTAAAGTTAAAAACGAACTACCTTCAAATTTTGATCTGCAGCAGCTTTTTGGGCGGCTTGACATGTCACAGCCAGTTATGACGGGTCATTCATTTGGAGGTGTAACGGCCATATCTACTCTGGCTAAAGATAAGAGATTCAAGTAAGTAGAAAGTTACTGGGTTTTTTTTAAGATAGCTGAAACCAATTGGGTCAACAATTTGTAATTTGGGTACACTGTACAGTACAGTACTTACTTGTCCAGATAACTCCGTATAAATTTATTCATTTGCAACCCTAATTATTTGGCTTCTCTGATTTTTTTATGCTTATTTCTTGTACTAAATTCTTTTCTGGATATTGTATACTGAAGTAATTAATTATCTGAATTTCACATTTCAAGTATTTTGTGTAAATTTTTATTTTTTTTATTTTGTTCATAATCTCAAAATAGGTACAGTACTTCTTAACTCACTAATTAAGAGTCTGGGGTAAGAAGTTTGAGATTTCGGTAGTTATTTGTCCTAATGACTCTTAGAAAAAAAAACAACATTTTGCAGCCCAATTTACTTGATGCCTGTAACTTTTCAATGTCAATTTATTTTCTTTTTCTTTTGGGTATACTACTGTAAAGTACTGTAGTTCAATACATTAATTTTACATTCCAAGGGTTTTTTTTTTTTTTTTTACGGGAATAGACCACCCGGTCACAGGTCACGGGTCATCGACGCACAACGACATCTTCATTTATTATGGCAGAATAGTTTGAATTTTTTAAATATGAAATTTTTTATACGTACAATAATGTACTGTACAGAACTGTATAGCATTTTTTAGCTGATGGTTTAATTTTTTCTAGAATAGGTTTGGCACTTGACCCATGGATGTTCCCTATCAAGGATGAGGTTGATGCCTTGTGTCCAAGTGTCACTCAACCATTAATCTGTATATCAACTGAGGCATTTCAGTCTGATTCAAATCTTCAGGCTATGAGTAAACTCAATTCAGACACAACAGTCTTCGTTACTATCAAGTATGTTCTTCTGGTGTATTTTCTTATAAGAGAAATTTATACAGTAATTATAGGGTATAATGAATGGTGAAATAATTATGCACATAAGTTGGATGATGGGTAAAGTACAAAAAGCTGACAAATAAGGTGGGATGATAGAGTGCAGAAGTATGGAAGTGAGAGAGATGTAACATATCTGTAATGTCTGATAGGGTGTGGCAGCCCTGTGGATATACAGTATCATTTGCCTCCTGTCCTAAGTGTTGCCAGTCTGTGCCCTAAGGCACCACTAGTTTACCCATTTTAATTGGGTACTCTATTCTATAATTGAGAAAGTGAAGGTGTTGGAATGCATTATTGGCCACACTGCCTCTTTGTGCATCAAAGCCTAGTTTACCTTAATGTATCCACACTGCCCCTATTAGGCTGTCAGTTGTATGGGACCTACTTTCAATGACTGATAAGTGATCTGTCTCAACAAAACATTACCTTGATGACTGTATGTGAATAATAGGAACCATCTGGGAGAATTTATGTAGTTCCTCATTACTGAATTATAGAAGAGCAATATAGTCCAGGTCTTCTCAAGCACTTGCTCAATTTTGCATGCATTTTTTTTCTCCTCAGGGTTATAAGATTTATGCAAAACATATAATCACTTCACTATACTCAACTGTATTATGTAATTTATGCCTTCAGAGGAACTGTACACCAAAATCAGTGTGACACCCCATTCCTTGTTGGACACATTGGTCGGGTCTTTGCCGGAGCTTCTTCTCCTCTCGACCCACAAACAGCCATGGATATCAACAACAGGCTCATGCTGAATTTCATTGCCAAGCATTTAGGTGAGTAAACTACATTACAGGTAATGTATATGTAGTTACTTATTAGGTAATTTTTACACCAACTGTCAAAAAGGTCATTATTCTTTTCAGTGAGTGAGTTAGTTCACAAGCAGAGTTCTAATGATTTTGAAGAAAATTAGTAGGCGAGTTGGATATTGCTCGAGAACAAACTGCCCTTCCTTTTGCATATGGTAGAAAAGACCACACAGTATCAGAGGCCCTGAAACATGTTTATTTATTTTAGTGAAGCCTTGTTAGATGTTAGCTACTTTATGTACCTGCAGGCAGAGTAATCGGAATAACAAAATTAATTTTCTCTTGGAAATATTTATCCCTTTAGTGATGAGTCAATTGTAATACCCTTTGATTATCTAGTTTTGATAGTTTTTTTTTATTCATTTTGATATTGAAACAGGATGTTTGCTCTGATGTGCACTTTTCTTGTTCTCTAGTTCATTCCCTTGTGAATTTTAGTTTGTATGCCACCTTAAGTGACTGAGAATGGCTTCAAGCTTTTAGTTGCAGAAAAAAATAGAGATTGACTTAAACTAAATAGTGGTATCATATCTTTAGAGGAAAGCTGGATCATGTCTGTCTATCTAACTTCTATTCTTCTCCTATTTTCTTGTATGGAATGGATGAGGTAAACTCAAATAAGGAAGGAAGAAGTGGAAGGTAAGAGTAATTCAAGACAAATATTGAAAGTGACAGGAAAGTGCTGAAACAAGTAGTATGCCAAGTTGATCCCTGGCCTGCAGTGATTGACAACATTTCATATTAATTCACTGTATACACTCATCCCTGAATATTCATGGGGTATATGTTATAGAAATGGCCACATATCTACTAATCTGTGAACATCATTATCATAAAGTAATAAACCTTTGTTCACACAGACACCAACATGTGCTGCATAGTTACTCAATAAATAAAGAGCAAGTTAAATATTGTGTTCCCTTTGGTTAAGTCCCTTTGAATATCATATTTGTATATTAATGCCGTAAATAAATAGTGAAAGTACAGAGGTAATGTAGAATTATGAAGTAGAAAACGTGGTCTAATGGAAAAACACTTTAATCTTTGTGTGTATCCATGCAATATAAACATAAGCATATTTTATCAATATCAGTGTTAGCATAAGATAAATAAATAGTTGAAAATACAGAAATATTGAAGATGTGGAGTAAATAAAAACTAATAATCAAAGCACATTTCAATGAGATACATTTACTGTAACATTTATGTAAGACAGTGAATTACACAGTACAGTACAGTACAGTAAATGAATACATGTTTGCATACAGAAATTATGCATAGTACTGTATATATAAGGTACTGTAGTTACAATGAGACTGACGATGATGCACACATAGCTTATTGGTTATGCTTTGGCCTGCAGTAGCTGTCTGCAATTTTCTAACATGCATACTTCAAATTATAAATAAAGTATTTTTGTCTCCCACAAATCTTCAAGGGTGCAAATTCTAATTATGCAAATAATCAGGGATGAGTGTGTACTAAGCCAATCTATTATATATCATAGACTTCAAGTTTTTGGAGTATGCCAGTGAGTATGTAACACTTCAAGAAGAGAGGTAGTATGTGGTTGGTGTATTATAGAAGGTTGTAATCACAGCAATCCAGGAAGTTGTGGAGGACACAAAGCATGAAAGACTTTTGTGATGTTGAAATAAAGCCAGCTGCATCTTAAATTTGTGAATTTCACTTGAGAATATTGTAATTTGTCTATGAAATGTTGTATTACTTTTCTTTTCTTTTTTTGTCAAATGAACTATATTTGATAATAAATTTTTAACAAAAATTGCTCTCAAATTTCTGTTTTTGAAGTCTAAGTACTATACATTATCTATTTTTAAAAACATTATTTGCTGACTTCACTGCATTGCCATATGTTTATCTTTTTTTAAAGATGAAGGTTTGTAGAACTTTCTTTCTGGAACAAAATGAACTTAATTAATAGATTGGGAGAACGGTTTGCATACATGGACAGTAATATCAGGTTTTTTGCGGTTTTTAACAAGGTGATGGGGTATGTAGATACAACCATTGATGTACTGTACAAGTATTGTAAATTGCTGTAGGTACTAATTTTCTCTGGTACAGAGTAGTTTTACACAGAAGAAACATTTCATATGTAGCAGAAACTCCTTGGTGCATTTTGTCTGCTTTTTGGTCTAGATATAAAATTAATATAAAAATTATTCTTTTCTTGTATTCCATTAACTTACTAATTACTATGTATATCTGTATTGTTTCCATAACATTTAGAATTTCTTGGAATTGGTATTTCTCTGCCTTGGCTAAAAACAGCTCTTCCTTCACAGGTGAGAAAGGTGCCTCTCTCAACACCTATGTGCCTTACCTTGAGATCCAGAAAGATAAAATTGTGTATGGTCTCTATGGCAAAGGGAAAGCCATGCTTGGCTGGGATGCGGGTTACCATGCTGTCTAACTGTATTACACCTAAGTCCTACTAACATTTGCCTGTACAGTATAAAACTTTGTAGTCTGGTGGAGGATATACTAGATTTACATGATCTCTTAAACTACATATACCATTGGCTTCTATTTATGCTGTGTTGGTGTTGGTGCAAGATATATACATTGTGTGTGTGTTTGTGTAATAATGCTGCAGAAAAATTATGTAATGCACTCCAACTGAGGTTAGATTCCTTCACAGGAGAGAGACTAGAACTTCAAAATAAAAGTGAACTATTCTTGGAAAACTGGCAGAGCTCCACTATCTATGGCCTGTATGGAGACAGGAGTCCTGAACTTAGTTCCAAACTCTAGCTACAGGAGAGACTACACAAGGCTATTACTTCAATGAGACAACCATATTACCAAATTCAGTACAGTATATCATGTCTAATCCATAGAGATTAGACTGGAATCTTTGACACTTATGAGAAATAAGGAGTCACATTCTGGGTCCCGAAATATTACACCCAAAATAAATAAAACCCCTAAAATAATAAATATATTTACTTGGTATGATATTTGTTCTGGAAAATATTCGTTTATTGGATATACAGTACAGTAGAGTCAAAAGGTATTTAAAAGAATTCATGGAAATTTCAGTATAAATATATAGGAACTATACCAGACTGGATGACACCCATTCTCTTCACCCCCTACTGAGCTGCAAGAAGTATCATTGACTGCACCCTCTCCTGGATGGATCAATTGAGAATCAATATGTTGCTTTTACCTTTATGTGACCAACACAGCTGTTTGCTGCACTTAGGAGGAAAGAGAGAGACTCCTCCATTTATCTTCTCTTTCTTTTCTTTCCTCCTACTTCCTCCTTTTCTCCTGAAAGTGAATGAGACAGAGGAAGAAAAAAGGAAAATCATTTCTATCGCATTTGTCTTTTTCCCATCTCTCTTTTTGTCCTGCTCAAAAGTGATGTGAGAAGGAAGAGAGACAAATTAAGTAAAAAAAATTTGTGTTAGTTTAGGTGTTGATTTATTTGTTTCTTTGACGTTGTTTTTTATGTAAATTATAATTTTTTTATAGTAGTCTACTAAAGTATTAAGATTCCCCACAAAATAAGAAAAGCATCACCATAATCAAACCAAATATACAGGGAGTTCTCATTGTTCGTCAGGGATATGTTCCTGATGACCACGACTATTAACGAAAGGACGAATAACAACTAACCCATTGACTTGTATGTTATACAGTAGTACATGGAAATATGTTATGACCACATGATATTTCTCATTATTTTTCTAATAATATCTTACAAAATGCTTTAATGTGCAGTACAGATACAGTGACCCCTCGTTTAACGAACGCCTCGGTTAACGAAATTTCGGTTAACGAACTGCCTTCCATAAGGATCTTCAATTCGGTTAACGAATATCTTACGAACCGACCTCAACATGTTTTCGCTTGCACTGACCGGGCAACCAGCTTTAGTATCAGTCCGCCAATACATTAATCGGTTCTAGGGCTTAAATTCCTTACTATTTTAGTAAATATCAAGAAGTTTATACTATACAATAATTTTAAAAGTTTAATATTCAATTTTTTAGTGATTTTAACAATTATTGAACATAATTGAAGGTAAAGTGACTAGTTTAATGCGCGGCATCCAGCCTCATAACACAGCAAACAGGCGTTAGTCTCTCTCTGTTTTCACTGGAGGTAACATCTTGCTTGAGACTCTCTTCAACTAAACGCTTTTTTTCTGTGTTTCCAAGCAAATTATTGGTCATTTTGAAATATATTTTACATATTGACAATATATAATGCAGTGCAGTGTTGATTTAAAGAAAATAATCTTGAATTACACCGAGAGAGCTAAAATTTTATTGGTGAAATGGCGCCATGGGGTGACTTCTCTTCCACCCCAATGCCTTCTCTTCTTCCTTCTCCTCCACCCCCATTCTAAATCCCATCATCATCATCATCATCATCATCATCATCATCATCATCATCATCATCATCCAGGAGCCTTCTACATACACACCTCAAAGTAAGTGAACTTTTCTACCATTTTTGTTGAATTTAGGAAATTTTCAGTGAGCTGGAACCAATTACCCAAAAACCCATTGAAACAATGGTTTGTTAACGAACTTTTCGGTTAACGAAACGACCTTCTGGACGGAGTTGAGTTCGTTAACGGTCACTGTATATTATTGCTGTACAATAAACCCGTGGTAACTAACACCGTTCCGCACCTGGAAGCTATATGATATGTTATGTTATAATTACCTTTTTTTTTCTTTTCTTTTTTTTTTCTTTTCTTTTTTTCCCCTCTTCAGGGATCCGCCCACCCGGGCACAGGTCACTGACCCACATCCGGGCCTGGTGGGGCGAAAATATAATAATAATAAGAATAATAATACATAGTTCATGATAAATACAATTTATAATACAAAATAACAAATAAAATAATAATAATAATAACAACACTGATAATAATAATAATAACAACACTGATAATAATAATAATAACAACTGATAATAATAATAATAAAGAACTATAAAGAAATACAAAAAAGAAAAAAGATCAATAGTGAGAAACGATATATGTACAGTGTGTTGTCAAAGTAAGAGAAACAATTGAGGCCCTGCAATTGTGTGTAAATGAGGCAGAAAGTCAGATCAGCAATCTGGGACATGGTAACAATTTTCTTGATGCCATATGGCAGCAGGGTCTACCATTAGACAACACATTATGCTTCCAATATCTTCCCAGGCGGTAGTACCTCCCTGTTTGGTAGCTGCCTACTATCTACTACTTTGAATGACGAATTAACAAAACACTGAACAAAGGTATGATGAACAGTGAGGACTCTCTGTAATAATTGAAAAAATGTAAGTAAAGCCATGATCAGGTCAGGAGGTTAAGATACTCACAATAGTTGAGTCAGTGGATTGAGGCATGGGGGTAGTGGAGATAATCAGCCTCTCACCTCCCACCAACTGTTCAATCTTGTGGTACATGTATAGATATACAGGTAAAATATTTTTTATTAGGTAATACACATTGGATACAGAAAATGTGAGAAAAGATGTAGATATGACTATATCTTCAATATTGCATTACATTATATTGGTTTCAAAATAGAAGATTAAAGATTAATCAAACAATTCCCACAGTTGTGAGGAGTTTTATTGTTGGTATTGAAAACTACAGATGCAGGTGAGCTAACAAAGTTTGTTCACTTTTAAGACATTATAAAGCATATTTTATGCTATGTAGAAACTAATGCTCTCCGAGTCCCTGGGGTATTTTCCAGTGGATCAGATCATGGATGGGAAGTTGCAGATTTGAACATGTATGCGGATTTGATGGGATCGACTGTACCTACTTTACTGAAACGAATGATTTATCAGTTCTTAATTATTAGCTCGGAGAAATCATTACTTAGATTTTAAGATTAGCTTTAAGAACCATATTTTATCCCTGTAAAGATTACCTCGAGTGTGCTTTTATAGTTTTAAGGGCCATGTGTTAATAATATGATAATAGCTCAAACTACAGTACAGTACCACCATGTGGATGATGACATGTAACTACCTCAGTTCTGAGTTAGAATTTTATGGAGTAAAATTCTTGAATGTGTGTTGACACATCACAATTTAGTATTTTCTTAACAAAGGGAAGAGTTAATTCTTTTTTCCTTTTAATTCTGAGGCATTATGTGCCCACACAGTGTATGCTTGGAGCATGTTAATTTGTGCTTGTAGAAGCAGGATTTTGCAAAAAATATTCAGTACTGTATAGAAATTAAATTTTTTTAGGCTTCTTTACATGCATTCTCAAAATGCCTACAGTACTGTACTTAGATTTTCAAGTGTTGTATGATTGACTTCACAATTTATTAAATTTTCCTTTGTTTTAGAGCATAGCCAATTTGTGTCCAGTGAGTGCATATTTTTTATAACATAACCATTTTTTATGGATATATAATTTTGTGTTCATCAATGTTAATTGTGTAAATTATGTATAAAGGAAGAAGGGCATTAACTGGGTAGCTTTAAAAAGTGTAAAGGTAAGTATAGTATACATTATATACACACAGGCAGTCCTCTTTTTATGAAAGGGTTGCATTCTGCAGAATTGGTGGATAAGGCAAAAAACATTATAGTAAACCAATTTTCCCATTGACAGTGTTAGAAATAGAGGCTGAATTCCTGGGGGGATGAAGTTTACACACTACACAATTAAAACTTACCAAAATAAATAGATACAGAACACATCTAAATGTATATTTACCGTAAATGATTACTTTCCATAGATACATTAAGACATAATACTAATACACTGTATTTAGATATCACAGGTAGTAATTTTCACTTATTGACAGTTCTGTATTGTTTATCTTGCTGAAGAAGCTTCTCATAAGTTCCCCTTGCACAGGAGAGAACACCGGCATGGAAGCCGCCCATACCACTTCTTTGCAATAGGAGGGAGTTTTGGACATAGGTGTAGCTTTCATTTGTATCTCCACTCTCAACTATGAACAACCTTACACCACTGACTGACCAACATTGGAATGTTTCCCAGATGCATGTGTCAGCACCTTAACATTTTCTGATGATACGAAGTAAAATATTTACTGTAATTTTGGGGTTTCCATTTGCATAATAAGGCATAGGATAAAAATTACTAACGAGAAGTCACTCGATACAAAGGACAAGTCCCTGTCCTAATGCCTGGGTTGGTTAAAAAATACCGGTAGTACTTGCGCAGGGAATAATAAATCTAAAGAAAGTTATCATATTTCTATAATAAAGTTACACAATAATTTTATAGCTGTATTGAAGTCTGAAGACAATAATTATATCACTATAGTAAAGTCTGAAATCAGTAAAGTATAGTCCCATTTATTTCATTTGTGTGGTGAGCATATAATGATCACCCCCACATTATCACTCATCATTATTGAGAAACCAGCTGAGTTATCATGCCTCCTAACAAAATGCATGTTGTACAGTGTTATCATTTTCCAAATTCAACATTGGAAAACATGGTGCATGGCTACATACAGTATACATTAACTAAGGACATGTTATCCCACAAATTGTACAGTTTATTAATATGTACAGTAAATAATAAGTAGCATTATCAAATTCATAAAACTTACAATGTTTTGGGCATTCCATAAAAAGACCAACTGTTACAAATTATTGTGCAGGTATTGAAATGAGTAAGGTAAGGCAAGCAGTCTTTTCCAAAGAGTTTAGTCATGTTATCTGTAACTTTTTGTTGCAAAATATGAAGCACCATCACTGAATTTTTTGCCAAAGAATAATACATTTTATATTAAGACAAAACACATTTAAGATGTTATTTTTTTGCAAGCTTTGGAATGTTAAAATGCCTTGTGTTGATGTAATCACTGTAGAAATATGGAGATGAATAGGTACCTGTAGTAAAATTAATTGACGGGAGTACCCTGTATATAGCTTGTGTATCACTGCAGGAAGAATGCTGAGGAAATGGCAGAGAGCTTGCTTAGTTTCTTTCTGTTTACTAGTCTCAAGATAGTGTGCTGTATTTGCACAGCCTGTAAGAGGCTGTCTGGCTGTCGGATCCATTTTCACTTTTGATGCAAAACTGTTAAATGTGGAATTTTTACTTTGTTTTTACCATTTACAACATGTAGTAAGTTATTTCATTATATTTGTGTAATACACTATGTAGCTTTTTATGGTAACTTCATTTTATTGTAGTTTTTCTTTAAAACTAATGAGCTTCTATGGAAATACTGTACTGTATCAAAAAAGGTAAATGTATCAGAGAATAACCCCTACACATCTGCACACAGCAATAATTTTGTTGCTATAACTGTCATACTTTTGGCAATGATTTTTTCAGTGCCAAAAATTATTGCATTACATGTACAGTATTTTAAAAGTTCATGAAAGGTATTTAGTTCACCTGACAATATAATTTATTTGACAATTTGCTTGATACAAAAGGTTTAAGATTTAAACAAACTCAAGATCATTTATGGCTGATACATCCTGGTTAGAAATTCCACAGGTATACAGTACCTGTACTGCAGTTTATGTCTTGACCAGTAATTGTGATCTTCTGCTCACCTGAATGTGAAGTCAGGATAGGAGATATAAGTGATATATATTGTAAATTTTGAAAGCTTTATTGTAAATGCATTAATAATAGTTATTTATTGGTAACAGTTTTTAACTTTATTATAATTATGATTGAATTCTTATTAACTCATCTGCTTTGGGGAAAAAGGAAGAGTAAGTGTCCTCCCTATCTTCATTGTCTGATTAAAATATAA